TCGTTTAGCATGCTTCACTTTGTCAGACAGATTCTATTTAACCACTTCAGCCCCAAGCCATTCTGGCATTTTTGTTTACATTTTAAAATCAGTATTTTTTGCTGATTTCAATATTCTTAGAACCCTCAAACATTTTTTTCTTTTTGGGTTGTGTATTAAGTTTTTTTTTTTTTTTCAAAGTGGAGGCCCTAGAGAATAAATTTGGTGGTTTTTGCATGGTATTTGCATAGTGGTATTTAAATTTTATTCTCTACGGCCTCCACTTTAAAAAAAAATAAAAAAATACACACCCAAAAAAAAAAATATTGCAGGGTTCTAAGAATATTGAAATCAGCAAATAATACTGTTTTTAAAATGTAAACAAAAAGTGCCAGAAATGGCTTGGGGCTGAAGTGGTTAAAGGATAAGTTCACCTTTTGACAAAAAATAATAAATGCACGTTTTTTTGCAGGTAAAAAAAATGTGCGTCTATTATTTTTTGTTGCAGGAGCCTGGAAAGCATTGCACCAGAGATCAGCAGATCGCTGATGCCATGCAGGTCTCCTGCAGATCTGTCAGTATATTTGCTTGCCAACGTGGGTTGTACGGGCAATCAGGTATACTGACAGGAGGAATCAATGAACTACCACAGCACTGTGGAAGTTGAGAACTACAAGCCGACAGCCGCTAAGGCTGTTGGGACTTGTAGTTTTCTCATTCATAGAAGACTGTGATTGACTGACGGCGGGCAGAGCCTGCTTTTTTTTTTTTTTTTTCTTCTCCTCTCGCTAGCTGTCAAAGTGGAGGAGCGGGGGCTGGTCCATTCATAACATGTTACACCCTGAATAAGGTTATAACATGTTATAAAAAGGGGAACTTTTCCTTTAAGTGATTTCTTGATTCAACAGGTCTGGCGGTAATCAGGCCTGGGTGAGGCAAGTGAAATTTAACTCAGTTTTACAAAACAAATGTGGTTAACACAGTTCATTTGTGATTTAGCAATCAGGTATACTGACAGAACTAAAAGCTGACAGCCACTAAGGCTGTCAGGACTTGTAGTTTTCTCATTCATAGAAGACTGTGATTGACTGACGGCGGGCGGAGCCTGCTTTTTTTTTTTCTTCTCCTCTTGCTAGCTGTCAAAGTGGAGGAGCGGGGGCTGGTCCATTCATAACATGTTACACCCTGAATAAGGTTATGTTATAAAAAGGGGAACTTATCCATTAAGTGATCTCTTGATTCAACAGGTCTGGCAGTAATCAGGCCTGGGTGAGGCAAGTGAAATTTAACTTAAAAAAAAATGTGGTAATCATAGTTCATTCGTGATTTAGCAATGAGGTGGGGCAATTACTTTTTCACATAGGGCCAGGTAGGTTTAGACAGCTTTTTTCCTTTAACAAATGAAATCATCATTTAAAAACTGCATTTTGTATTTACTCAGGTTATCTTTGTGTAATATTAAAATGCGTTTGATGATCTGAACAATTTAACCTCTTCAAGCCGGCGCCTCCAAGCCCTTTAAGAGTTTCAGAAGGCGGGAGGCGGGTGGGGTTTTAGGGTCATGTGACCACAGTGATGCGCCGTCACATGATCGGAAAAGGTCCTGATCGAACGGGGAGATCGGGACCTTTCTGTGAGTCACGGACATATGTGCTGCTCTCAGCACATACAGTTGTGTTCAAAATAATAGCAGTCAGACATTACTAACCGGATCAATCGCTGTTTTTGGTAGAAATGATATTTCTACATGGCAAATAATTTCCTAGCAGGTGTAGTAGAGTAATAGAAATCCAACAGACCCAACAGTCATGACATGCATGCTGCTGATTCTGTGTAATTGAATCACTCATTAAAAGGGGCATGTTCAAAATAATAGCAGTGTGGAGTTCTATTAGTGAGCTCATTCATTTTTTGAAAAACAGGTGGCAATTATTGCCCTTTTTTAAGGAAGGAAGGCAGCAAATGTTGTACATGCTGGTTACAGTGCATTTCTCTCTGAAATTCTGAGGAAAATGGGTCGTTCCAGACATTGTTCAGAAGAACAGCGTACCTTGATTAAAAAGTTGATTGGAGAGGGGAAAACATATAAAGAAGTGCAGAAAATGATCGGCTGCTCAGCTAAAATGATGGTAAATGCTTTAAAATGGCAGCCAAAACCTGAAAGACGTGGAAGAAAGCGAAAAACTACCATTGGAATGGATAGAATAGCCAAAATGGCGCGGACTCAGCCAACAATCAGCTCCAGGAAGATGAAAGAAGGTGTGACGTTCCCTGTGAGGACTGTTACAATTAGAAGACGCCTATGTGAAGCCAAGCTATCTGCAAGAAGTCCCCGCAAAGTCCCACTGTTGGAAAAAAGACGTGTGCTGAAGAGGTTACAATCTGCCAAAGAGCACATTGACTGGCCTAAAGAGAAATGGCGCAACATTTTGTGGACTGATGAAAGTAAGATTGTTCTTTTTGGGTCTAGTGGCCGGAGACAGTTTGTCAGACGACCCCCAAACACTGAATTCAAGCCACAGTACACTGTGAAGACTGTGAAGCATGGTGGTGCAAGCATCATGATATGGGGATGTTTCTCATACTACGGTGTTGGGCCTATTTATCGCATACCAGGGATCAGGGATCAGTTTGAATCCATCAGAATACTTGAAGAGGTCATGCTGCCTTATGCTGAAGAGGAAATGCCCTTGAAATGGGTGTTCCAACAAGACAACGACCCCAAACACACCAGTAAACGTGCAACATCTTGGTTCCAGACCAACAAGATTGACGTTATGGAGTGGCCAGCCCAATCCCCGGATCTTAATCCAATAGAAAACTTGTGGGGTGACATCAAAAATGCCGTTTCTGAGGCAAAACCAAGAAATAGAGAAGAACTGTGGAATGTGGTCCAATCATCCTGGGCTGGAATACCTGATCACAGGGGCCAGAAGTTGGGTGACTCCATGCAACACAGATGTACAGCAGTTCTCAGAAACAGTGCGACTACAACCAAATATTCATGAAGTCATTCAAAGGAAAGCAAAATCTTCAAACATTTCTCAGTTTATATAGTGAATGTTTGAGTTTGTAAAGAAGAATACAAACACTGCGATTTTTTTGAACCGTCTAATATTCACTTTTCTTCAATTTTTTTTAGAGGAACAACACAAATTTGATCTATTTTTTCTTCATGTTTTGATTTGGAATAGAATGTGTCGTGTTCCCAATGCATTTGTGTGGATGGAAATAAAAGCCTTTTAGAAGGATTTTCAGCTTTCTTCACTTTTTTCAACACACTGCTATTATTTTGAACACAACTGTATATGCGTATTGTCGACATGAAGGGTTAAGAACACATATCTATTAAAAATGTTATGCAGAAAAGCTTTGTGCTTTTTTTTTTTTTTCCATACAGAACATTAAAGTTCTTGGAAAGAATGGGTATTTCCGTAGGGGGGGATGGAAAACACAGGTGAAATCATACACCATATATAATGTACTTGCAGTGGTTGTAAATACAAATGCATTAAGGAACCTTCCGGTGATGTCCGCCCCCCTTCCCTAAATACTTACCTGTGTCCTGAATCAATCCAGTGCTGTGCACAGCTTCAGTTCTTCTCTCCTCTCCTTGCATTCAAGAGCTTGGTTGAGATCAGTAGGAGCTACTCTTGGTGTTTCTATGGACACACATAGCCCGGCTATTCGGGCTATAACTAACCAAGCTTAAACTTGATCCCATCCCCATTCTAATTCCTATATTTAGGGGTGTCCCTAGGCAGGTGCGGGGGGTGCGTGCTGCAGCGGGTGACACCTACCGCACGGGGTGACACCTGACCCGCTCCATGAAAAGGTAAGTTGTAAAGCAAGCCTACGATCCCCGTTGGATGGATCGAATCTGCGGATTGGGGAGCATAATGGATCGGACTCCATTATGCTCAATCCACAGATCCGATCCATCAAACAGGGATTGGCATGCAATCTATACGGGGTGACACCGGATCCACTCCACGAAAAGGTAAGTTGTAAAGCAAGCTGACGATCCCCGCAGGATGGATCGGAGTCCGATCCATTATGCTCCCCAATCTACAGATCCCATCCATCCCGCAGGGATCGTCAGCTTGCTTTACAACTTACCTTTTCATGGAGCTGGTCCGGAGTCACCCCGTATAGGTTGTATGTCGACGATCCCCACAGGATCTGCAGATTGGGGAGCATAATGGATCGGACTTCGATCCATTATGCTCAATCCGTAGATCAGATCCATCCTATGGGGATCATCGGCATGCAATCTATACGGGGTGACCCTGGACCCGCTCCACAGAAAGGTAAGTTGTAAAGCAAGCTGACGATCCCCGCAGGATGGATCGGATCTGCGGATTGAGCATAATGGATCGGAGTCCGATCCATTATGCTTGATCCGCAGATCCGATTTATTCTGCGGGGATCATCAGAGGGGGTGACACCAACCCTAGGGACGCCCCTGCCTATATTATCAACCCTGTAGAAGATGCTTACACTTACCTATCCTCAGGGCACTCTGGTTCAGGCACATGGTCGGCACCTAGCAGCCGGCTTCGGCTGACATTGGATGCCCCATAGTAAGCCTTGTGGGTGAGGTCACCACCCATGTATTCCGCCTTTTGTTGGCATTCTATCCTCTCCCCTAAAGCCGGCCGCTGAGATCACATGACTGGATGGGAGCACTCTGACAATAGGCAAGTACAGGTATTTTCCTTCTACAGGGTAGTCAATATAGGATTAAGAAGGTAGCCGGGAGTCATTTCAAGCTTGGAACTAGCCCAGGCTTCTACTTTAGGACTTGAGTATTTTTACTTCGCATCGGAGCTTGGAGTTGTCCGTTAAAAAAGTGAAACAAAAGCCCGGAGTTTTAAACCATTTTATTAAGAAAAGGTTAATATTCCTTGTACACAAAATAAACTGTAACACGCAGAAAACACCAGAAACATCCATACATTCAGCCACGCAATTGACCACACATTCACCCAAATGCTCATACACATCACAGGGGTCTTTTGTCACAAGCCGGGGGTCTCTGCTGTGGGGGGGGGAGGGTTGAGGGGTCTTGCTTTCTCCAGCGGTTGGAAGAGACACCACAATATATTTCTGCATTCCGCTGCTGCCGCCAGTTGCTGAGCCCCCCAGGCCGCTGCTCTGACCGCTGGACACAAGTTTCACAATGGGTTGGACCCCAGGGGGGCATGGTGTGGATGGAGAAGGGCCGCTTGAAGAGGTGAGAACCTGTAAGGAGGGACACAGTGAGACCAGAGGTACAAAAAGATTGGTATGGAGGATGTAGCAGGAATGTACAGACACAAAGAGGTATGGAACAACTGCAAAAACAGGGGAAGCTGGAAAGGAGGAAGCAACAGTGAAAAGGCAGTTGTGTAGGATGGGGGAAATATTAGGACATGTAAAATAAAGGAAACTGTAGAGGTTAAAGTACTTGAAAAAAGAAGTGAGAGGCATGTGCGGTGCAAGGAGAGGGGTGCAGTAGGAGGCGAGAAGGAGGAGCAGCATGATGGAAGGGAGATAGGATACACTGCAAGAAAAAAGGGAGAGGGGATGCAGCACAAAAGAATGTTAAGCAGCGTTAGGGAAGGGGGACGCAGCGCGAGGGAAGAGAGGAGGGCGCAGCGCGAGGGAAGAGAGAGGGGGGCGCAGCGCGAGGGAAGAGAGAGGGGGCGCAGCGCGAGGGAAGAGAGAGGGGGGCGCAGCGCGAGGGAAGAGAGAGGGGGGCGCAGCGCGAGGGAAGAGAGGGGGGCGCAGCGCGAGGGAAGAGAGAGGGGGGCGCAGCGCGAGGGGAGAGAGAGGGTGGCGCAGCGCGAGGGAGGGAAGAAGAGGGGGACTTAGCACAAGGGGCGGAAGAGGGGAATGCAGCACGAGGGGGGCAAAAGGGGGGACGCAGCACGAGGAACGGAAGAGGGGGACGCAGCACGAGGAACGGAAGAGGGGGACGCAGCACGAGGAACGGAAGAGGGGGACGCAGCACGAGGAACGGAAGAGGGGGACGCAGCACGAGGAACGGAAGAGGGGGACGCAGCACGAGGAACGGAAGACGGGGACGCAGCACGAGGAACGGAAGAGGGGGACGCAGCACGAGGAACGGAAGACGGGGACGCAGCACGAGGAACGGAAGACGGGGGACGCAGCACGAGGAACGGAAGACGGGGACGCAGCACGAGGAACGGAAGAGGGGGACGCAGCACGAGGAACGGAAGAGGGGGACGCAGCACGAGGAACGGAAGAGGGGGACGCAGCACGAGGAACGGAAGAGGGGGACGCAGCACGAGGAACGGAAGACGGGGACGCAGCACGAGGAACGGAAGACGGGGACGCAGCACGAGGAACGGAAGACGGGGACGCAGCACGAGGGAGGGTGAAGCAGCATTAGGGAAAGGGGATGCAGCGCGAGGGAAGAGAGAGGGAGAAGAGAGAGAGAGACACAGTGCGAGGGAAGAGAAGAGGGGGACACGAGGGAAGAGAGAGAGGGGACACGCAGCCAGGGAAGAGAGGAGGACGACGCAGCGTGAGGGAAGAAGAGAGGGGACGCAGCGCGAGGGAAGAGAAAGAGGGGGACGCAGCGCGAGGGAAGAGAAGAGGGGGACGAAGCGCGAGGGAAGAGAAGAGGGGGACGCAGCGCGAGGGAAGAGAAGAGGGGGACGCAGCGCGAGGGAAGAGAAGAGGGGGACGCAGCGCGAGGGAAGAGAAGAGGGGGACGCAGCGCGAGGGAAGAGAAGAGGGGGACGCAGCGCGAGGGAAGAGAAGAGGGGGACGCAGCGCGAGGGAAGAGAAGAGGGGGACGCAGCGCGAGGGAAGAGAAGAGGGGGACGCAGCGCGAGGGAAGAAAAGAGGGGGACGCAGCGCGAGGGAAGAAAAGAGGGGGACGCAGCGCGAGGGAAGAAAAGAGGGGGACGCAGCGCGAGGGAAGAAAAGAGGGGGACGCAGCGCGAGGGAAGAAAAGAGGGGGACGCAGCGCGAGGGAAGAAAAGAGGGGGACGCAGCGCGAGGGAAGAAAAGAGGGGGACGCAGCGCGAGGGAAGAAAAGAGGGGGACGCAGCGCGAGGGAAGAAAAGAGGGGGACGCAGCGCGAGGGAAGAAAAGAGGGGGACGCAGCGCGAGGGAAGAAAAGAGGGGGAAGCAGCGCGAGGAAAGAAAAGGGGGACGCAGGGCGAGGGAAGAGAAGAGGGGGACGCAGCGCGAGGGAAGAGAAGAGGGGGACGCAGCGCGAGGGAAGAGAGAGGGGGACGCAGCGCAAGGGAAGAGAGAGGGGGACGCAGCGCGAGGGAAGAGAGGGGGGACGCAGCGCGAGGGAAGGGAGAGGGGGACGCAGCGCGAGGGAAGGGAGAGGGGGACGCAGCGCGAGGGGAGGGAGTAAACATGAGATAAAGGGACAGAGCAGAAGGGAAGGGAGAGGTTGCACAGCACAAAAGAAGGGACAGGAAGAACAGTGCAAGATCTAACATGTAAAAACCTATGGGTGCAACACTTGCAGCGCTCAGAAGGGCCAGCCATTTCCCTCTAGTTAATACCTACATGACCCAATCATGATAAGGAATGCTGATAAAATGATTTTATCCTGGGAGGAGAAACTACACAAAGGTTGAAAAGGGCTGTTATAAAACATAGGCAGAGTACTAATAGAAGAGGAAAACAGGGCTCAGCATGACAGAACACGGTTAGCAGGAGAACAAACATCAGCCAGAGATCTGGAAGAGCATGAGGCATTAGTGATGAGACAGAGAAATGGCACAGAACAAGCACACAGGACACAATGAGCAGTTACCTGGGTCCCGCTGCTCCCGGCTGAAGACACCACAATGAACTTGGTGGGTGGTGGTGAAGGCTGAGTAGGGGTGGCCGGCCGGGCACTCACTAAGGTCTGTACGGGCAAAGTCAAGGACCCAGGCACCTTAATTATCCCAGGTGGGCGAGGGGATGGCGTGATGGGAGCCGGAGGACGGCTGAGAGAGGGTGAGGGTGGGACGAGGCTAAGAGAGAGAAGTTACGTAGAAAAGGATGATAGCAGAGAGAGAAAGACATGGGATTAGGAAAGAGACATAAAAATAAGTCATTAGGGGTAACACACCATCATGGCTTTCACACACAACAGCCCGGGTCATGTGACTACCGGGGGAGATGATTAGACATCTGATAACTTCTACAACATGAATTAAAGCCAGAATATAATGCCGAAGGTTACCTGTGTGACTGTCAGAGTGGTCCGGTTGACCTGGGGCCCCTGCAAAGCGCTCTGGGCCCTAGCCTTCATCACATGAGAGCACAGAGTGGGACCCAGGAAGCCATAATCTGTACGGTAGGTGTCTGGGACATCTGGAGAGGTGCGTAATTTCACCAGAACTGGAGCCGTGTGTTTCTAAAACACAACAAAAAAAAAGAAAGAAAGAAACGTTGCAACAATGGCTTTCCAGTGATTTTACTGTTCATTTGTGTGTCTGTATACCATGATCCAGGAACTGAACTCTGGAAGCTCTGCTTAAAAACAGCAGCCAGATGTCAAAGGAGTAGTCACCAGTATTGCCTGTGGTCTCCCTACAGCTGATCCTCTCCCCATTACTGAATTATATCTACAGTGGATATAAAAAGTCTACACACCCCTGTTCAAATGTCAGGATTCTGTGATGAGAAAAAAAAATTATTTCAGAACTTTTTCCACCTTTAATGTGACCTATAAACTGTACAACTCAATTGAAAACCAAACTGAAATCTTTTGGGGGGGGAGTAAACATAAAAAACTAAAATATTGTGGTTGCATAAGTGTGCACACCCTCTTATAACTGGGGATGTAGCTGTGTTCAGAATTAAGCAATCACATTCCCGAACACACCTGCCATCAATGAAAGTGCCTCTGATTAACCCCAAAGAAAGTTCAGCTGTTCTAGGAGGTCTTTCCTGACATTTTCTTAGTCGCATCCTACAGCAAAAGCCATGGTCCACAGAGCTTCCAAAGCATCAGAGGGATCTCATTGTTAAAAGGTATCAGTCAGGAGAAGGGTACAAAAGAATTTCCAAGGCATTAACTACACCATGGAACACAGTGAAGACAGTCACCATCAGGTGGAGAAAATATGTCCCAACAGTGACATTACCAAGAACTGGACGTCCCTCCAAAATTGATGAAAAGCTGAGTAGAAAACTGGTCTGGGAGGCTGCCAAGAGGCCTACAGCAACATTAAAGGAGCTGCAGGAATATCTGGCAAGTCCTAGCTGTGTGGTCCATGTGACAACAATCTCCCGTATTCTTCATATGTCTGGGCTATGGGGTAGAGTGACAAGACGGAAGCCTTTTCTTACAAGAAAAAGATCCAAACCCAGCTACATTTTGCAAAAACACATCTGAAGTCTCCCAATAGCATGTGGGAAAATGAACTTTGGCTATAATTCCAAAAGATATGTTTGGCACAAAAACAACACTGCACATCACCAAAAGAACACCATACCCACTGTGAAGCATGGTGGTGGCAATATCATTCTTTGGGGCTGTTTTTCTTCAGCCTTAGTCAAGGTAGAGGGAATTATGGACAGTTCCAAATACCAGTCAATATCGGCACAAAATTTTCAGGCTTCCGCTAGAAAGCTGAACATGAAGAGGTACTTCATCTTTCATCATAACAACCACCCAAAGTATGCATCCAAATCAACAAAGGAATGGCTTCACCAGAAGATGAAAGTTTTGGAATGGCCCAGCCAGAGCCCAGACCTGAATCCGATGGAAAATCTGTGGGGTGATCTGAAGAGGGCTGTGCACAGGAGATATCCTCACAATCTGACAGATTTGGAGTGTTTTTGCAAGGAAGAGCGGGCAAATATTGCCAAGCCAAGATGTACCATGCTGATAGACTCCTCCCCAAAAAGACTGAGTGCTGGAATCACATCAAAAGGGGCTTCAACAAAGGATTAGTTTAAGGGTGTGCACACTTATGCAACTATATTGTTTTTTATTTTTACTTCCCTCCACCTAAAAGATTTCAGTTTGTTGTAATGATCAGCCTTTGCCATCTTCTGGATGCTGCTCAATGCACATGTACTCAATTAGGAGTTTTTAACCTCTTGCTGTCCGCCTGCTGTTTATAAACGGCAGGGCGGTGGCAGTCCAGGGGCGGGTTGCCATTCCTAAACGGCACCCGCCTTTTCTAGGTGTGCACGCTCCCTGGGAGCGCGCAGCACCGCGATCCGGTGCCCGCTGTGTCCTCCGGACAAAGTGAAACACCGATCGTCGGACGGGACCTCTGTACGAGGTCCCGATCATGTGATCACTGATTGGCCAATCAGTGATCACATGCAAAGTAGTAAGCAAGATGTCACTTGTGACATCATTGCTTACTACGGGTGAAATCTGTGAATGATCACAGAGGTCACATGGTACAAGGCTATTCACAACAGCCTTGTACCATGTGACAAGCTGTGACCAATCACAGCTCACTCAGTACTTCTCAATGACTGCAAGAATGCAGACAGAGAGAAAGAGAAATGATTGCTTTTACATCCTATATGGGTGTAAAAGCAATCAGTGTAAAAAAAAAAAAAAAATCTTCATCACCCCCCACAAGTAGTACAGTGTCACCATGGTGACACTGTACTGCTAGGGTGACAGTATGAAAAAAATAAAATAAAAATAAAAAATATAAAAAAAATAAAAGTGTAAAAAAAATGTGTTTAAAAATTATAATTTTTGGTTATAAACTAATTTGGATTTTTTTTTTTTTACTAAAAAAATAACGGAATAAATTTTGGCCAAGGATTTATGATGAAATATTATTTATTTGCAAGATTTTATTTAAAAAAACACTTTTTTTCAAAATTTTTGGACTTTTTTTTTCATTTACATAGTAAAAAAAAAATTAAAATCCCCAGTGGTGAATAAATACCACCAAAATAAAGCTTTATCTGTCTCAAAAAAATGGTAAAAAATTCATATGGGTACAGTGTGGCATGACCGTCATTGTCATTCAAAGTGTGATAGCGCTGAAAGCTGAAAATTGCCCTGGTCAGGAAGGGGGTAAAAGTGTCCGGACTGGAAGTGGTTAAGTAGACTGCTGGACTTTCAGCCTGTGCCATAACAGGTCAGTCTGAATTCTTTTTCTTCATGACTTCCATTAATCCTGTGATGATCTGCACTGTGTTTGTACCGATCATGTCTAACGTATCCAGATTGTTAGCCTGCTGACTCTGCCACTCTCTGCTCTGACCATCTCTCTGAGGACTTTTACTCCCCTGACATAAAAACTATGGAAATACAGAAAGTAGCATCAGGCCAAACTGGATGAGCGAGTCCAAGATAATTCGAATTTTTGGTAAAAAAAAGGCATACAAAAACAGTCAACATTCAATTGCTGCTCAGCAACTACTCCACAAGGAGAATTCACTGCTGGTTTTAATATAGATCCATGAAGTCACAGTTTTCTTCATCCAAGTTTTGTGTTGATCCCTGATGAAGGGGGGAGTGGTGTTGCCACCAAAACATGTTGGCTGTTTTTATATGATTTTTTTTTTTACCAACAATTAAAATGATCTTGTACTCGTTCATCTGGTTTTGGTCTTGTGCTCCATGGTTTTCTATGGTTAGAGCTACCGCTGGGTGCAAATCAATGGAAGACTTGCTGTGTGGGAGCCACCTCATCAGAGCTACTGTGGGAGCTTGCACGTGCAGTTTTCCTTCAAATAACTGCACGTGCAAGTCCAAAAACTCCCAGCTCCTCTGCACGTTGTCCTGAGTCCTAGCATAAAACTGTCACAATACATTTTATAATAAGTGGTATTGGTACTTTTCTAAACAGCTAGTTGGGTTTACTGGGATCTATAGTTCCCCAATGGATGCAGATGCTTGTGTTGGAATACAATAAGTATTATCAACCTCCCTAGCGGTCTGATTATGTCAGTCTTTGTGTGCTGAAAGCGGTACATTTTTTTGCATGGAAATATGTTTTTTTTATTGTAGGCCTGTAATTCTTAGGAATAACTCACTGAAATCTGTCCAAACAAGAGTCTAGTAAACATCCCGGGATATGATAAAATTTGAAACACGAAATCATAAATTATAATATAATAAATAATCATAAAAAAATTTAATATAATAATAATAAATTTAATTCAATAATATAATCAAACCAAAAACACTGAAATGTGAAATAGAGCGCCAAGTTCGCACATCGCTGAGCTCAGTCGCAGAATCGTTTTCAGTGTCTGATGAGGAATTTCCCCACGAATCATTATCACTCAATTCTGCAAGTGGTTCTGATTTACTATCGCTGTTCTCTAGCCGGTCTAAAACCGCTTTTGACCTAAAGGGACGCTTTTTGGACGCCATGGACGTTTCTCAGTTTCCAGGCAGAAAGAACAGTAAAAATGCAGGCAGGGCGCAGGACAAAGCACTCGGGACAAAATGTATGTGAAATGGTTTGATACAGGAATGTTTATACTATGTGATTTTAGTGTATTCAGTGAATGTCACTTTTAAAATTTTTACATTTCCTGCCGGTTCCGTCCCCCGTACGTCCCGACGTCGCAGGGAACGGAACCAAGAAGATGGATGCCGGCATCGGCCGGAGGACATTACAGGGGACACTGCAGGGAGGACATCGCGGGAGCGCAGGACAAGGTAAGTGCAGAAGGGATCCGGAGCAACGCTGCAGTGTATTACCTAGTTTAGCTCGAGGGGGTGGGGGGGGAGGGGGGGGGCTGTGTGGGGGGGGGGGGGGGGGGGTTATCGCTTCTGGTACTGAAAGTTTACCCCGAGCTACATACATAAGCACATACATAAAAACAAACACTGGAATGCATGTTATTACCAGCAAGAGGCTCTGGACATGGTCAGCTCCGATTTTGTCAATGTTGGAAATAACTGGACCCTCTAGAACAGTGCGTAGGCGCTCTCCTTCCACCGATAAACGTGGGACGATCAGAGTTTTGATCACCTTATGAAAGATAAATAAAACCAAGCAGATTGTAAAATGATGATAGGTGGCCCAATCTCTCTTACTGTATAAAACCTACTGTAACTCACATCGGGTCCCAGTTCTGCAAGGCCAGCGATAGAGCCATACCGGGTGGTCCATGGAGTGCGATCGTCAACCAAACTCTGCCATAACAAAACCAAAAAATAAAAACACATCAAGAATACAGGATAGATCCAAAAACTGGCAGGGGAAATTTACACAGATGGTGGCATTTGCTCAGACAAGCTTTATAAATTCTGCACATTGAACAGATGTAGAGAAGAAAAGACAACAAATAAACAGGTACAAGTTATGTAGGATTGGTTTCCTCTCTGTGTAACAACCGAGGCCAGTCACGTCCTTGAGTATATGTAAGCAGAGTGTAACACCAGTTCTCTGCCCCCCCCCCCCCCAATTATTTTTAAAGCTCAGACAAGCTTTATAATTACTGCACATTGAACAGATGTAGAGAAGAGAAGACAACAAATAAACAGGTACAACTTATGTAGGAGGATTCGTTTCCTCTCTGTGTATCTACTGAGGTCAGTCACGTCACTGAGTATATGTAAGCAGAGTGCAACACCAGTTCTCTGCACCCCCCCCCCCCCCCTTTTCTTTAATGCTCAGACAAGCTATATAAATTCTGCACATTGAACAGATGTAGAGAAGAGAATACAACAAATAAACAGGTACAACTTATGTAGGAGGATTGGTTTCCTCTCTGTGTAACAACCGAGGCCATTCACGTCATTGAGTATATGTAAGCAGAGTGCAACACCAGTTCTCTGCCCCCCCCCCCCCTTTTTTTTAATGCTCAGATAAGCTTTATAAATTCTGCACATTGAACGGATGTAGAGAAGAGAAGACAACAAATAATCAGGTACAACTTATGTAGGAGGATTCGTTTCCGCTCTGTGTATCTACTGAGGCCAGTCATGTCACTGAGTATATGTAAGCAGAGTGCAACACCAGTTCTCTGCACCCCCCCCCCCTTTTTTTTTTAATGCTCAGACAAGCTTTATAAATTCTGCACATTGAACGGATGTAGAGAAGAGAAGACAACAAATAAACAGGTACAACTTATGTAGGAGGATTGGTTTCCTCTCTGTGTAACAACCGAGGCCAGTCACGTCCTTGAGTACATGTAAGGGTTTACAATCACGGTGTCTGACGCAGGACTTATTACTGTGAAAAATATAAACTGACCGACAGGCTCACTTTAAAAATCAAGACAAAAGTAGGTAAAGAGAGGACTTGAGGGTTCAAATCCCACTAATCTAATGTATTCTTCTTCTTTGTACCTTTGTAAATGTCTTGGTTATCCTAGATTGGATGTTGTTGGTTGTGGTGCTGAAGTTCTTGCAGATCTGCGCAATGAGACGAGCGGCAAAGTCTCTCAATGCCCAGTGATTGTCCACATCGGGTCGCAGACAAAGCTGGCGGCTGACGATACACGTCATCACAGCTGGAATGAGTTCATGGAGCTGGAAGAGATCAGATCAAAGTCAGAAGCATTATGTTGCTGTTGAGCGCTGTGGTCGTTCATTGAGTCTTTTGTATAACTGCCTGTCTGTACGAGCAGACAGCTTACACTGACAGTTTGCAGGAGCCCTGCATTGCACCTGCGATCTGCTATTTGCAGGTGCAATGTTTCCTAGGCTCCTACAAAAAAAAAGCAAAATGCACATTTTTTTATCTGCAAAAAAATTATATTTATTTTTTTTTCATGGTGAAATTATCCTTTACTATTGTATTTGTGTGTGTAACGGAACCGGACCCAGAATGCACTAGGGCATTTCTGTTAAGACTCCCTGTCCGAACACAGATCCACGGACACCACCGCTGACCATGCAAGACGAGACAGCATCAGACTCGTATTAAAACAGGAAATAGACTGCTTTATTTCAACACAGACTGAAGATATATACACAGGGCGGGGCAATACATTTAATAACAAGAGACACACAGCAGACACCCCCCACCAAGCCAATACACATAAACACATACATCTCATAATAGTTTGCTCCCAAGCAAGACACAATAGAACAATGGGACCACCTGGCAGTAAACAATGAACAACCCCCACACCCCACCTATACATGTCTACACAATATCAGGACATTTCACCCTGCACCCCTAACAGGCACAGGGTGACTTACACATAATAGGGATATGGGGAGCTGAGACAGGGGTCTCCCCACCTCTCCAAAGGAGGCTGTGTTCCATGGGCCCACCACCCAAAGTGACTCCCATCACAGTGTGATTTTCCTGCAGTTAGTGTCCGAAATCCATGGACAAACATTTATTCAGATATGACCTGAAAATGGCGTTATCGTTTGTCTGCGGTAGGGACATCAAAGGGCAAGCTTCTTCCCCTGACCTAACCAACCCCACTTCGGATGATACCTTACCCTGTTCTGACAACTCAAGCTCTGCTGATTGTTTAAATCCAGAGGTACACATCTTCACTGTCTTGGCTGTTGCTTCACAGTACAGCCCCATAGACTTCCATGGGTCTGTCTCTGATCTCCTCCGTCTTCGGGACAACGCCCCAGAGAAATGTATGGGGCTATAGTGAGCAATGTACAAGACTTGCACTGCAAGGTGTAAACAAATGGCGGACCTGCAGATGCCAGATCCAGGCAAGTATGCATCTGTACAAGAGAAGGGTGGGTTAGGATAGATCAGGGGTGTCAAATGCAAATTCATTGCAAGCCAGATCAGCATTATGGTTGCCCTCATAGGGCCAGTTTCATCTGTAAGACTAGATGTCTAAAGCACCCCACCACCCCCTTACATCAAGTGTCAAGTGCACTCTGTAATGACTGTGCGCAATAGGGACATGGAACCTGTACGCGGCAGCCATTTTTGTTTTTCATGAGCAATAATCTTTCTACCCTCCAACTGAAAACTGGAATTTGCAGCTGTAAGTTTTAACGAACTTCCAAAGAGCCTCTTATCTTAATTAAAACACAACAGGACCCCAGAGCCCAGGCCTGGATGCCAGCTGTAAACAGCTGATTAGTCTTGGCAGGATGTCTGTTTTTAGGAACCATGGAAAACACTTTCCTCTGCCTATCATAAAACAATAAAAACTCAGTCAAGCAGTCACACATGACCTATACAGCCATTGAGCCTCTATGAATGCAGAGCATCCCATAAAACGTCTATTCCACATGTAACAAGTCCACATACAATACATGAAATTCAACAGGAACAGGGCACATTAATATTAGGTATATACTTGAATAGGGAATATCATACTGAACAAATCAAGGTCATACATGACTATGCTAGCACATAGGAAAAGGAAGAAAGCAGTCTCCTGCCTCCTGGGTGACAAAGGTATGCTGTGTTTAGTATCCCTGGGTTTGAAATATAATTTTGAATAATAATCTGCCAGTTTCTAGAATACCATCTGCACGTATTGTAAGTTACTAATATGAGTATGAAACTGTAGTTGGGACTTGGTCATAAATTTGGTAACCTCCTAGCACCCAGCCCTTAAACCGGATGATTGGTCAGTTGTTCTCAGGCAATACCCCTTTGACACCATATTATTATTACTATACAGTATTTATAAAGTGCCAACAGTTCGCTCAGCGCTGTACATTGTAAAGGGGAGACAGAACATGCGACAGTACAATAACAATACAATGCAATACACGAGGGGTTCGAGGGCCCTGCTCTTTCGAGCTTACAATCTAGGAGGGAGGGGATAGTGGTACAGGAGGAGATAGCTGTGGGGGATGGAGTGGTAAGAAGAGTGGAGGAGGTCGGCAAGTTAGCAGGGAGTGGGGTAGGCTTCCCTGAAGAGATGGGTTTTTAGGGTGCGCCTAAAGGAGAGGAGAGTAGGTGATAGTCTGATGGGTTGGGGCAGGGAGTTCCAGAGTATGGGTGACACCCTGGAGAAATCCTGGAGGCGGGCATGGGAGGAGGAGACCAGGGAACTAGAGAGAAGGAGGTCTTGTGTGGAGCGGAGTGTGCGTGTTGGGTGGTACTTGGATATTAGGTCAGTGATGTAGTTCGGGGCAGTATGGTGGACGGCTTTGTACGTCAGTGTTAGGATTTTTAATTTGATCCGTTGTGCAATCGGAAGCCAATGGAGGGATTGGCAGAGGGGGGTGGCGGAGATGGAGCGGTTGGTAAGGTGAATGAGTCTGGCTACCATATTCAGGATCAACTGAAGCGGGGATAGCCTGTGGCGAGGCAGGACAGTGAGGAGGGAGTTGCAGTAATCGAGTCGTGATATGATGAGGGAGTGGATTAGCTGCTTAGTAGTCTCTGGGGTTAGGAATGGGCAGATTTTGGTGATGTTGCGGAGGTGGAGTCTGCACGAGTTTGTTAATGATTGGACTTGGGGCTGGAAGGATAGGTTGGAGTCCAGAATGACACCAAGTACTCTGGCCTGCGGGGCGGGCCTGATAGTGGCATTGTTGGACGTGATGGAGAAGTCAATGGGGGGTGGTGTGCGGGCTGGGGGGAAGACTAGGAGCTCGGTTTTGGAGAGGTTCAGTTTAAGGAAGTGGAGCGACATCCAGTCTGATAGGTCGTTCAGTAGGTTTGTGATTCGGGAGGAGACCGAGGGGGTGAGGTGGGGGGTTGAGAGATAGATTTGTGTGTCGTCGGCATAGAGGTGATAGTTGAAGCCGTGAGAGTGTATGAGTTGGCCAAGGGAGGAGGTGTAGATGGAGAAGAGAAGGGGCCCGAGGACAGAGCCTTGAGGGACCCCAACAGAGAGGGGGAGTGAGGGGGAGGTGGTAGCATTATAGGTGACGCTGAAAGAGCGTTGTGACAGGTAGGATGAGAGCCAGGAGAGAGCAGAGTCTCGGAGGCCGAGGGAGTGTAGTTTTTTTGAGGAGGGGGGGGATGGTCGACTGTGTCGAAGGCTGCGGAGATGTCAAGGAGTAGGAGCACTGAGTAGTGGCCATTAGCCTTGGCGGTTAGGTCATTGGAGAGTTTGAGTAAGGCGGTTTCGGTGGAGTGTAGGGGACGGAAGCCAGATTGTAGGGGATCGAGGAGGTTGTTGTCATTGAGGTGAGAGCTTAGGCAAGTGTAGACTAAGCGTTCGAGGAGTTTGGATGTGAATGGGAGCAAGGAGATGGGTCTGAGGTTGTTCGGGTCATTGGGGTCCAGAGAGGGCTTTTTAAGTATGGGGGTGATGTATGCATGCTTCAGAGGGGAGGGGAAAGTGCCGGAAGAGAGGGATAGATTAAAGATGTGGGTGAGGGAGTGTAGGATGGAGGGGGAGGGAGGTCGTAGGAGTTGTGAGGGGATAGGGTCGAGGGGGCAGGTGGTGAGGCGGGCATCAGAGAAGACCATAGAAAGGGACTGACCAGATCTAGTAAGGGGAGCTCACGTTTAACATCAACCAAGGAACATCTTAATGGACTTGACAGCCAAGGCAACGTTTTTGCTCGGACAATTGGCCTCTGCTAAAACCAGGACTTTGCAAGTACTCTGCCTTCTTAACTCCTTTCTTTTATTTCTCTGTTGCATTATTGTTCTCTTTATTTCTTTGTAACATCCTTTTCTGTAAATATTTTATTTGCACCATTTGACCTTTTTGATAATAAACCCTATTTTTTAAAGTGTTCAAACTGTCTCTAAAGCTTTTAATGCAAACTAAAGAATCCCTGTCTCTTGAAGAGTGCTGCTGTATATAATAATCCTCTGAATATACCTGTCTGCGGTGACAGTGTGTGTTACAGACATTTATTGTTCACATTTGTTCTTGCTAACACTGTGAAGGGTTGATAGGCCCAAAGCGATCTGGTGGCAGTTTGGAGTTTGAAGGGTAATTGTGTAATTAACTTAACCCAGTGACAATAGCTCTCAGGCTGCTGTCACCTAGACTGTGGTCCCGCAAGTTGGAAAATCTTTGTGCAGGGTGCAGCTGAGAGTGGCATTGTTATGCAAGTGACAGCACGGTGTGAGATTGGCTGGTCCTTTGTCACGAGTTGGTGAGAAGGTCAGGGATCGGGCACCGTGTTAGTTACACACCCTCCTTACCTTGTGCTGCTGTCGGTGAGAAGCTGGGGGTGGAGCTGAGAAGCAGAAAGTGCAGGGTCTGGAGAAGGCCCAAAGGAGGGCTGAAGTCAGCTGCTGGAGTCTGCTGAATGCTAAGATCAGGAGAAGCGGAGGCGAGGGGGGTGCTGCAGCGGCACAGAATGGAGCAGGATCTGTAGGAGGAGTTCTGTCCTCCTCTCTGCTGCTAACTGCTGGGACAAGGTGGGGGCAGAGACGAGTCTGTCCGCAGATGTGCAGAGAAGTGCAGGATCTGGAGGAGGAGTTCTGTCGACCTCTCTGCTACCAACTGCTGAGACAAGGTAGGGGGCAGAGGGGAGGTGATGCAGCTGCAGGAGAGGCGTTAGGGCCACCTGCGGACCTTGTGTTTAACACTTGTGGGTTAGGTGAAAGGAAAAATTGGTATTCCCCTCAGGCGACGTACGGGTACACGAAACACATAAGGAGGAGCCAGTAACGCCGTGACGTCACGCCGCTGGAGCAACGTGGAGCTCCGTCGGCCATCTTTCACTCTGGACAGTTAGTCCATGCTTTTATTTGCTCTGCATGTTCAGCTTTACTATTTGTTTACCTTGTTTATACTTGCATACTTTCCAATAAATATCCTTACAATACTACACTATGGATATGCTTTTGCCTTGATTACCTTGGGGAGTATCAACTTACAGCTACCTACCACCTGACCACCAGAGAGGGAGCCTCCATTACACCCAGAGAGCTGCACCCATCTATCCCTTAAGAGGAACTCTGGATACCCCTGATGTCCCACCATTGAGTCCCAGGACCACAAGAGGGAGTCTACTGGATTCCTGCCTTACCCTGAGATGACCATTAGATGACATCAGGATATAATATACAAAACGCTCATCAATTTGCGTGTTCTGGTGAGTCCGCATTCCTTACACACCTGTATGCACATCATTCATCTTCAGGAAATCAAAGGGATATCTGAGCACTTGAAAGTCACTTTATGAACTGTTTACATGCCGTTTTGATATTATATCTGTTATTTATATATATTTTCTTAACCACTTCCAGACCGGACACTTTCACCCCCTTCCTGACCAGGGCAATTTTCAGCTTTCAGCGCTATCACACTTTGAATGACAATTGCGTGGTCATGCAACACTGTACCCAAATGAATTTTTTACCATTTTTTTGAGACAGATAAAGCTTTATTTTGGTGTTATTTATTCACTACTGGGATTTTTATTTTTTTTTGCTATGTAAATGAAAAACTTAAAAATTTTTGAAAAAAAGTGTTTTTTTAAATAAAATTTTGCAAATAAATAATATTTCATCATAAATCTTGGCCAAAATTTATACCGTTATCTTTTTAGTAAAAAAAAAAAAAAAAATCCAAAATTAGTTTATAACCAAAAATTATAATTTTTAAACATTTGTTTTTACATTTTTATTTTATTTTTTTATATTACTTTTTATTTTTAGTTTTTTTTTTTTTTTTTTTACATACTGTCACCCTAGCAGTACAGTGTCACCATGGTGACACTGTACTACTTGTGGGGGGTGATGAAAATTTTTTTTTTTTTTACACTAATTGCTTTTACACCCATATAGGATGTAAAAGCAATCATTTCTCTTTCTCTCTGTCTGCATTCTTGCACTCATTGAGAAGTACTGAGTGAGCTGTGATTGGTCACAGCTTGTCACATGGTACAAGGCTGTTGTGAATAGCCTTGTACCATGTGACCTCTGTGATCATTCACACATTTCACACGTAGTAAGCAATGATGTCACAAGCGACATCTTGCTTACTACTTTGCATGTGATCACTGATTGGCCAATCAGTGATCACATGATCGGGACCTCGTACAGAGGTCCCGTCTGACGATCGGTGTTTCACTGTGTCCGGAGGACACAGCGGGCACCGGATCGCGGTGCTGCGCGCTCCCAGAGAGCGCGCACAAGCAGGGTGTGGGGAGGCCATTTATAAATGGCCACCCGACCCTGCAGTGCCACCGTCCGGCCGTTTATATGCAACGGCTGGTCGGGAAGTGGTTAATTATTTATAAGCATTCATACACACATTTATACATTTATTTTATACTCACTTTGTTTTAAACTGTACTTATCCTTTAAGACAAGTAAAAATCTGCAGTTTATACCCTTCCTGTGACAACCACTCCCCAAATTTCTTGTACAGGCATCAAGACAGGAAGCAAAGAAAAATCTCCCCAGTGTGTTCACAGACACAAAACAGAAGTTTCAACTCTTCCCACACTAAACCGTTTAGCTTTCCTGTTTCTTCTGTATCAACAAGTTCAGGGTGGGACTTTCTCAGTCCTGATAAGCTGCAAAGTAAATCTAGTTTATATTTCCAGTGTCTTCACACTTACGTATTTCTCTAGGTACAGAGTGGCGTTGTCCATCAGAGCTTTTACCATTCGCATGAGATAAATAAGCAGTGCCAGGTTATTCTGTACAACATTCACGCGCACCTAAAAAAAAAAAAAGGATAGAGATAATGTTTACAAATCAAAAAAAGGCGCAAAGCTTCAGAAGGGAAAAATCAGTAATGTGAGAGGTCATAATTCCTTATTATCAAGGCTCGAGTTGGTTATTAAAGTGTAACACTGGACTAGCAGCGAAGTACAACATTGAAACAAGTAAATGTGCACAGTAGTTATGATTCAGTTCAGCCTGTCTTATGGCTCATGCACCCCATCCAGAGAGGAGTCAATTGGTTGGCTTTAATGTAACCCTCCTCAGTAGTATGATTTGGTTTCCTACATTCCCCACTGCTTGGCTTTGCTGCAAAGTACAAGCAGTACTGAGGCTTGGTCTAATGTTGTCACATGGAGGCAGTACTTCCAGGTAAGAAAACCATGTGACTCACTCCCCTGAGCCTCATATAACAGTGTGGGGCCTTGGCCCAGAGTTGTTTTGTGGGAGTGGTACTTCCTGAGTTTTATATAACAGTATGCAGAACCATGTGACTCACTCACCCCCTGAGTCAGAATTGTCATATCCAAACAGTGTAGGGGCCTTGGTCCCAGTAGGGCCTTGTCTTGTGGGAGTGGTACTTCCGAGTATGCAGAACCATCGTGACTCACTCACCTGAGCCTCATATAACAGTGTAGGGGCTTGGTCCAGAATTGTCTTGTGGGAGTGGTACTTCCGAGTATGCAGAACCGTGTGACTCACTCACCTGAGTCTCATATAACAGTGTAGGGGCTTGGTCCAGAGTTGTCTTGTGGGAGTGGTACTTCCGAGTATGCAGAACCATCTGACTCACTCACCTGAGCCTCTCAGTGTATAACTTGTGGGAGTGGTACTTCCGAGGCAGAACCTGTGACTCACTCCTGAGCCTTATATAACAGGGCCTTGGCCCAGAGTTGTCTTGTGGGAGTGGTACTTCCGAGTATGCAGAACCGTGTGACTCACTCACCTGAGTCTCATATAACAGTGTAGGGGCTTGGTCCAGAGTTGTCTTGTGGGAGTGGTACTTCCGAGTATGCAGAACCGTGTGACTCACTCCTGAGTCTTATATAACAGTGTAGGGCCTTGGCCCAGAGTTGTCTTGTGGGAGTGGTACTTCCGAGTATGCAGAACCGTGTGACTCACTCCCCTGACTCCCCTCATATAACAGTGTAGGGCCTTGGCCCAGAGTTGTCTTGTGGGAGTGGTACTTCCGAGTATGCAGAGAACCATGTGACTCACTCCCCCGAGTCTTATATAACAGTGTAGGGCCTTGGTCCAGAGTTGTCTTGTGGGAGTGGTATTTCCGAGTATGAGGAGCCATGTGACTCACTCCCGAGTCTCATATAACAGTGTAGGGCCTTGGCCCAGAGTTGTCTTGTGGGAGTGGTACTTCCGAGTATGAAGAACCATGTGACTCAGTACCCTATCTCTCATATGCTTGGTGTTTTGTCCAGTGCAGCCAAATGGGGGCAAAGAGAGTCCACAGCCTTGTTTAGGCTCCATCTCGAGCCTAAGGCTCCATTCACACTTGTAGGACTCCAAAGTCGTGTGACTTTTGAGTGCAACTTTGGATGGGTGCGACTTGGATGTGCCTTCTCCCTCTGCAAATTCGGACCCACTGTTGCGTGTAGAACATTCAGGTTTGACTTTCGTGTGACTTTTGAGGATTAACATTGGAGTCTATGGCCCTCAATTTGCATGAAAGTTGGACCAAAGTAGTGCATGAACTACTTTGAAGTCGTTGCAACTTTATGTTCACATATATGAATGGTTATCATTGGAAAACATGGGGTACGACTTGTCATGCAACTTTGGACATCAGTTTGCACAAGTGTGAATGGGGTCTTAAAGACTTACACACAGCTTTCTTACTACACTCGCGATATCTGAAAAGACTGGAAGGAGAGCAAAGGAAAGGTGAGAATGTGCTGCCCTGGAGAGGCATTAACGTGGACCAGTTTTCTTCTGCATGGCAAAGCAAATATTTTCTTTTCAAATTAAAGCAAATCTATACTCGCTTTCTATTCAGCATCGCATTCTCCTGGAGCTCCTTGCTGGCCAATGTCATCTTTGGTTGGATTGGCTTCCGGGTATCAATCTTTGGCTATCTTCATTGGCCCAACCAAGATGATGTTACCCCCTGTGCATGTGCGGGAGGTATTTCATCTGGGCATTGCCAAAATTTGTACACTAAGTTGCGTGCGCACAGCTCAGTGTACAGGGCATACAGGCAGGTAATGAATTTTTATCGCAAGAGAGACACAGCGTGTCTCTTCTGTATTAGAATCCTGCTTGTCTGCCAATCTTTTTTTTTTCCACACATAAGAGTTCCACTTTAAAGTAGTTGTAAAGGCAGAAGTTTTTTTTTTTTTTTACCTTCTTGCATCTATGCATGAAGGTAAAAAAACCCCCCCCCCACCAGCCCCTCTGATACTCACCTGAGCCCAATCTCAATCCAGTGATGTGCAAGAGAGCAGAGGTGCTCTCTGCTCTCTCACTGGCTTAGAGACAGCAGTGGGAGCCATTAGCTCCCGCTGCTGTCAATCACAGCCAATGAGAAGGCAGCGGGGGGGAGGATCTGTCGGACACAGGACGCGGCTTGAAAGTGAGCTTGCTATGGTGGGCACTCAGTAGGGGGGGGAAGAGGCCTGGAGCACCAGCGGGGGACCTGAGGAGGATCAGGGCTGCTCTGTGCAAAACAACTGCATACGCAGGTAAGTATAAAAATGTTTATTGTTAGGGGAAAAAAAAAACTAAAAACCTACTTTAGAATCACTTTAGAGTACAACTTACAGTGAGAAAACCATTGACAGCCATTGCTGTATCAACTGCCATCTGCACAAGACTCAACTCTTGCAGCCAAGGAAAAAAAAGTGGAACATTTTGGCTCTATGGAAGAGTCTTCCTTAATCCTGCAACCATGGAAGCGATTTAATGGGAGCCATCTGATGAGAGGGTTAGAATAGAAAGAGGCCCTGTGTTTGGGAGGCCTGTATGAGAATGAATGTGGTAGTGTAGCGAGTTAACCCGTTCTATTCAATTACCCCGTGCCCCACTTTACCCTATAATTGAGATTTAACCTGTGTGTGTTCACTTGTAACTAAACCAACCCTTTACTTTAGGATCCAGTTGACTGTTATTAAAGCGGAACTCCATTCAAAAAGGAAGTACCGCTTGAAGGCCTCCTTCCTCTTTATTAAATGGCACTTTTTTATTCTGTATATTAAAAGCCAGCAGCTACAGGTTTTGTAGCTACTGACTTTTAACCATTTCAATACCGGGCAATTTTACACCTTCCTGCCCAGGCCAGTTTTCAGGTTTCAGCACTCTCACACTTTGAATGACAATTGCGCGGTCATACAACATTGTACCCAAACTAAAATTTTATCATTTTCTTCACACAACTAGAGCTTTCTTTTGGTGGTATTTAATCACCGCTGGGGTTTTTATTTTTTGCTAAATTAACAAAAAAAGACCAAAAATTTTTGAAAAAAAAAAACACGTTTTTCTTTGTTTCTGTTATAAAAGTTTACAAATAAATAATTGTTCTTCATAAATTTAGGCTGAGATGTATTCTGCTACATGTCTTTGGTGAAAATAACCCAAATTAGGATGTATTATTTAGTTTGAAGGAAAGTTATAGAGTTCACAAACTATGGTATAGATCTGAATATTGATCAATCCTGAAGTACTGACAGCCAATCTAATTTCTTGAGGTCCAAGAATGTCAGAACAGTACAGATATCCCCAAATGTCAGGACAGTACAGATATCCCCCAAATGTCAGGACAGTACAGATATCCCCCAAATGTCAGGACGGTACAGATATCCCCCAAATGTCAGAACAGTACAGATATCCCCAAATGTCAGGACAGTACAGATATCCCCCAAATGTCAGAACAGTACAGATATCCCCCAAATGTCAGGATGGTACAGATATCCCCCAAATGTCAGAACGGTACAGATATCCCCCAAATGTCAGAACAGTACAGATATCCCCAAATGACCCCTTTTTGCAGAGTAGACAGTCCGACGTACTTCATAAGAGGCATGGCGAGTTTTTTGAAGTTGTATTTTTTTTGTCATAATTTTTCGGAAAATTAAAAAATTAAAAAAATTAGTTTCACTATTTTTTTTTTTTACATACTGTCACCAGTGCAGTACAGCGTCATCATATAACTGACATGGCGGTGATCAGGGACACTGACTGGTGACAATATGAAAAAAAAATATATATATATATATATATATATATATATATATTTTTTTTTTTTTTATTATTATTTTTTATTACATTTTGTTTTTATTTTTTTTAAGATTTTTTTTCATATTTCTCTATGACCAAAGTAGTACAATGTTACCATAGTAACATTGTACTACTTTGGGGAAGTGATCAGTATTTTTTTTTTTTTTTTTACACAATTTGCTTATAGCAAAGAATTACTTTGCTATAAGCAAGCATTTACCTGAATGACATCGATTCATTCAGGTTTTTTTTTTTTTTTTGTGCTTAGCTGTGTTTTGGCCACAGCTAATCACATGACATGTGCATGTGACCTGCTGTGACCATTCACAGCTAGACACTAGTATACAATGGATGGCATGAATGAAGCCATCCATTGTATACAACTGTCATGTGACCTGCTGTGATTGGTCACAGCAGGTCACATGGTACCGGCAACTGGGCCGATACTCAGATCTGTCATCGGCCGTGTCCGAGGTACAAGGCCGGTGACAGATCGCGCCGCTGCGCGGCTCTGCAACCGCGCGAACTGCGCATTTGCGGGAGGACGCCAAATGGCGTACACCCCGGAAAGCTAATGCATTTTTGCAGCCGCCAAACGGCTATAGGCCGGGCAGCAAATGGTTAATAAACACAAATATGACTGGAGTTCCACTTTAATATCAAGACACTCTAAACAGAACACATTCTACAATGCAAACAGAGATGATCGATCTTAAGGCAGAGCAACTGATTTGAATTGCTCTCTCTGCCTGAATGTCAGTCCTCCCAGGCCTATAAAAGCCTGCAGCAGAGGGTATGTGAACAAAGTTTGCTACTTGTTCATATGTCCAGCCCCTGAGGGAGTCAGATTCCCACTTTCTCAAACAAAAAAAAAAAAGTCACTTAGTAAAGTTTTTTAAAAATCAATTACAGTTTTCATATAAGATGCATCCGGACTTCTATAATAAAAGAGGTTAGAGTATAATGTGATGGACAATACTCACCCCTTCTGATATGAAAGTGCTGAACCGAGGAAGCATCTGATACAGGCCAGGGTCAGTGGCAATACTCTGTAGTGCTTCCTGAAATAAATAAAAAGGACAGAATATAAGGGTCACATACCTTTACAATCCCAAGAGACCCCCAAAGTCTTTGTTTATGCCCTATTTATTTCTCACTTTGACTACTAACCTTGTATTCCACTGGCAAGAATCTCACATCTATAACTAATCAATTCTGCAGAAAGGCTTTTCTATCCCTCCCATTACCTAAAAGTAAACGTATCCTTAAGTACAGTATTTTCTGGCGCATAAGACTACTTTTTGTACTTAAAAATATACCCCACACATTGGGGGTCGTCTTATACGCGGGGTATAAAATGTGAACCTTGAGTTTGTTTGGGTCAAGCTGGCTGGATGTGTGGTAATACTGTACATACAGTATACCGTGCTGAGCCAAGCTGACTCAAAACAAACGTCCCTATGAGAGATACACACAGTATACACTGGGCCAATCACGGCGAGCGATGTATTCTACTAACGAATACAAAGCCTGCTCGGATTGGCTGAGTCAGAGAGGTGGGATGATGATGTCACAACCTCAGCCAATCCGAGCAGGCTTTGTATTCATTAGTAGAATACATCGCTCGCCGTGGTTGGCCCAGCGTATACTGTATGTAGCTGTGGCTACTGTACATACACACATCCAGCGGGCTGATTACAGTAGGGACATACCGGGACGTTTTGAAACAGCTTGGCTCAGCGCAGTATACTGTATATATTGCACATCCAGCGGGCTGACAGATTAATCTGTCATAGGGACATTTGTTTTGAGCCAGCTTGGCTCATCACGGTATACTGTATGTACATTACTGCACATCCAGCGGGCTGTATATATACCGTATACTGTATGTAGCCGAAGCTGCCGTATTACCGCACATCCAGCGGGCTGTATATATACCGTATACTGTATGCAGCCGAAGCTACCGTATTACCGCACATCCAGCGGGCCATATATATATGTATACTGTATGTAGCCGAAGCTGCCGTATTACCGCACATCCAGCTGGTATACTGTATGTATATACCGTATTACCGCACATCCAGCGTGCTGTATATACTGTATGTAGCCGAAGCTGCCGTATTACCGCACATCCAGCGGGCTGTATATATACTGTATACTGTATGTAGCCGAAGCTACCGTATTACCGCACATCCAGCGGGCTGTATATATACTGTATGTAGCCGAAGCTACCGTATTACCGCACATCCAGCGGGCTGTATATAAGCTGTATGTAGCCGAAGCTACCGTATTACCGCACATCCAGCGGGCTGTAAATATACTGTATACTGTATGTAGCCGAAGCTACCGTATTACCGCACATCCAGCGGGCTGTATATATACTGTATATGTATGTAGCCGCAAGCTACCGTATTACCGCACATCCAGCGGGCTGTATATATACTGTATACGTATGTAGCCGAAGCTACCGTATTACCGCACATCCAGCGGGCTGTATATATACTGTATACCGTATGCAGCCGAAGCTACCGTATTACCGCACATCCAGCGGTAACCATCTGATTTGGAATTTGATCCATATGATGACTGTCTTACAAATGTATCACAAGATGTCATTCATGAACTTATGATGTCAGAGGATGAACATGAGGATTTTGAAGGATTTTAAGTACCGGTAAGTCATAACCATTTCAATTAAAAATCTGATGTTTTTAAATGGTGTTGCCTCGGAAGGGGGGGGGGGGTAGTCTTATACGGCGAGTATAGCCCAAAACCTATGTTTTAACTGGAAAATTAGGGGGTCGTCTTATACACCCAGTCGCCTTATACGCCGGAAAATACGGTAATCCCTCAACCTATAATTTCCTATGCTAACTTCTCTCTACTACAGTCCTTTCGTCACCATGTAACCAACCTCAATCAACCCAAATCACGGTGATCTGATCTTTTTTTGACTATTGTTTCTCTCCATCAGATAGCAAGTTTGTATAGGCAGAGTCATCTTTAACTTTTTTACATCTTTGTTTATGTTTTTGTCCAAAGACTTTCTCTTTCTACTCTTACTAAAGCACAGCGCTGTACAATAACTTGGAGCTCTATTTTTGACAGAGGAACTGTATATAGAAAGCACTCAGGTGTCTACCGTACACAACACTTTACAAAATAAAGGACAATTCAATACAAGAGGATTAGGGGGGCCCTGCTCCCCCCCTGCGCTCGTAGAGTTTACAAAGGAAAAATGCTCACGTGTCTACATACCGCTCTCTTCGCTTCGCAAGAGCCAACACACGCTTCTGTAATCTCCTTGTAATACAACTGCTGTTCCACGGACAACTCGTGGATGCTGCGTGGTTTTAACTTCAGAGGGGCACCTTCTAGAATAGTGTTCTTCTTCTCCTTACCTGGGTGATAGAAAAAGATAGGTAAGTGATCAGCTGATAGACTCAGGGTCCCATACAGGGGCGGACTGACCATTTGGGCACTCGGGCACTGCCCGAGGGCCCAGGGTCAGTAGGGGGCCCCATGAGATGCCCCTGGTACCTTTCATTGGCTTTTTCATAGGCTTTTTTGGGTGTAGGCGAGGACACAGGGGCCTCATGATCCCCTATATGAGTTGTCAGTCTGCCCCTGGTCCCATAAACACATAGACACACAGAGGACCTTTACCCTCCACAGCATTTGCCCCTTGCCCTTTCCGCCCTGCTTCCTCTTGTCCTGGCTTGGCAGCCTTCAAGGGCTCAGTGTGGCTTCCATCTTCTGCTGCTCCTTCGGGACTGCAGGCAGAAAAAAAAAAAAAAAAGGACATAAGTGAATCATCCCGGGATACAAAATAGAATGCAGTTCCACGTGTAATGACGGTTTTCTACTGGTGGCGGTGTGTATAAAGGAGCGATTTGTCGGCATAGTCAGCTGCTTGCCTTGAGAACATCTTCCTACGATGAAACACGTTGAGGCTACAGCTGGTGTCATCACACTCCAGGACCCATATACAGACTGTCTGTAATGCTGCTCTGTTTGTGTTGTATATTGTGAGTACCGTATTTTTCGCTCCATAAGACGCACTTTTTCTCCCCAAAAAAAGGGGGGGAAAATGTCAGTGCGTCTTATGGAGCGAATATAAAGCGGCCGGTCCGGTATTTCTGCCGCCACCATGTCAGAATACCGGGCCGGCCGCTCAGCTCTTCTCTCCTGCAGGGCCTTACCTGTTCCTCGCTCCAGCGCTGCACAGTCTTCCCGCGCTGGCTTTGTGAATGGTCCAGTGTTTTCTGGGACACATAACAGGTCCCAGAAGGCGCCGGGCCATTCACAAAGCGCAGCGCTTCTCGCGCATGCGCAGTGGGCACCCCGCTGTCACAGAAGCCGGCGCAGGAAGAAGAGGGAAAGACAACTCCGCGGAAGTGGGAGCGGGTACCTGTCAAATTCAGGTACCCGCTCCCCCTCCCTCCCCAAAGGCCAGCAGCCTCTGGTCATCCCCTGCACTGTCTGCAGTCTCTGGTCATCTATACTGTACTGTGTCCCTGGTATTTTCCCTGTACTGTGTCCGCAGTCTCTGGTCATCTCCTGTACTGTGTCCGCAGTCTCTGGTCATCTCCTGTAGTCTCTGGTCATCTCCTGTACTGTGTCCGCAGTCTCTGGTCATCTCCTGTACTGGTGTCTCTCCTGTACTGTGTCCGCAGTCTCTGGTCATCTCCTGTACTGTGTCCGCAGTCTCTGGTCATCTCCTGTACTGTGTCCGCAGTCTCTGGTCATCTCCTGTACTGTGTCTGCAGTCTCTGGTCATCTCCTGTACTGTGTCTGCAGTCTCTGGTCATCTCCTGTACTGTGTCCGCAGTCTCTGGTCATCTCCTGTACTGTGTCCGCAGTCTCTGGTCATCTCCTGTACTGTGTCCGCAGTCTCTGGTCATCTCCTGTACTGTGTCCGCAGTCTCTGGTCATCTCCTGTACTATGTCCGCGCAGTCCTCTGGTCCGCAGTCTCTGGTCATCTCCTGTACTATGTCTGCAGTCTCTGGTCATCTCCTGTACTGTGTCCGCAGTCTCTGGTCATCTCCTGTACTGTGTCCGCAGTCTCTGGTCATCTCCTGTACTGTGTCCGCAGTCTCTGGTCATCTCCTGTACTATGTCCGCAGTCTCTGGTCATCTCCTGTACTGTGTCCGCAGTCTCTGGTCATCTCCCTGTACTATGTACGCAGTCTCTGGTGTCTCCTGTCTCTGGTCGTCTCCTGTACTATGTCTGCAGTCCATTGGTTCAGAAATTTTTTTTTTCTTGTTTTTCGCCTCTAAAACCTAGGTGCGTCTTATGGAGCGAAAAATACGGTAACTTTCTTAGCTAAATAAAGTGGTGTAGCGGTTTTACTCTATGCGGCTTTTGTGATTCATGTTTTGTTGGTCCAGAACATATCCCTGCTGGCGAGGCCTGCGGTTCCCTATGTTCGGTCCAAATAGGAGTGCACAGTGTACAAGCCTTTACTGAACTAGCACCATCTGACCTTGTATACCTTGGGGTCTATTACTCGGGGAAGAGGCTGGTATTTATGTGTGGTGGAGGAATCTGCTCACCGAACAGTTTTGTTTCAGTAACATTAACATATAGTGCAGTGTTTGCACATTATTGATTGAACTTTATTATTTTTGACCCGTTAAGAACTTTTTTATTAATGAATTATTTATTTGCACTAGTTATTTTTTTTTTTTTGTTTACAAACGGTTTTATTGTACAAAAGTAGACTGTAAAACAACAGTACATTTTCAAATGATACAGCAAAAACAAGGCACTTTTGAAAAGTACAATACAGAAAAGTATATTAATGAAAGAAAGAGAAGAAATAGAAAAAAGTAGGTTGCAAGTACATGAAATATGTAGATGATAAGGTAGATTGAATGATACATCTGTCAACAGTATATGCCAGTCAACTTTCATTGGGAATGTTATTAATTATGCAATAAATGTCTATAATCCCTCCATGACTCCCATTTGTTATCAGATAAGTGCATCTTATCCAGTAGGGTATAATAAATACGTTCCATGAGCATTACAGCATCAATTCTGTGTAAAACGGAGGCCAAGGGTACAGAATTGGACCTCCAATGTAAGGCAATAGACCATAAAGTGGCAATACATATAGTATGTATCAATCTCATAATGGCATCAGAGATCTTTTTTTTTTTCCATAAAGTTTTATTAGGAACAAGGAAACAGTACAAGTCAAAAGTACAGCATAAGGGGATATCATATATGTCACAATGGTCAAGGCACGCAGAAAGGCACAAACTGTTAGGCAGTATGATTAGTCTGAAACCACAATCAGTGCATACTGGGAAGAGAGAATACAGACTGCGGGGGAATAGGTCCAAAGTAAAGGAGGGGTTGTTCCACACCGCAGTTTGGATGGAGGTCTCTCCATGGGGCATAGCTGTCTATCTGATCTGGAAACATAAAAACCTAAAATCGTTGGAGGGTGGGGCGTGGCACGAAACCAGATAAGTCTACATAGGAGGGGATTGCGGGTCGGAATTTCTAGTAGCTGTTTAGCAAGTCAAGGGGTACGTATCTTATTTTCGAGGGTGATATGTGTGCCTAACAGTACCATTCTGAGGACGCTTAGGAGAATGTGTATGGGAGAATGCTAATCATGGTGTGATTCGTGGGAGAGGAAAAAGAATAGAACAGAGTTGGGGAATAGCAAGGGGGGGGGGAAGGATCGCAAGCTGGAGGTGACTAGGAGAGGGGGGGGGGCAGAAGGAAGGGGTGGAGGAAGGGGAGGGGTATGAGAGAGGGGGAGGAGGATGAGGAGGGGGAAGGGAGAAAGAGTAAGGGGGAGGGGGAAGGAGAAAGAGTGTAGAAGACAGAAAAAAAAGGGGGGGGGAGGGGGGAACCAGGATGGGGGGCGGGGCCTAGGAAACAACTCAAGGAGATCAGGACTGAGATCAGATCATCAGGGGCCTGACAAGAAGGCAAGTCGCATTTCCATTAACCAAAAAACTATTTATCATATGCACATGACAGGAGTTGTTTATCATTGCACCATTTGCACAACTGAATTGAGTTTCAAAGCAACAATATTTGGTGTTGGATTACAAAATAGAAGTGGTTGAGGTAAAAGCAGATGAAGAGCAATCCGAAGGAAAAAAAGGAGGAACCGCTTTAATGAAAAGAGAAAAAAGGAAAGTAGAAGCAGAGGGACAGAAACACAAAAAGAGAGGAAAAGGAAAGGAGGAAGAAAGGGGAAAAGTGATGGAAGAACAAAGAAGAGGGGTGGAAGAAATGGAGAAGGATGGAAAAAGAAAGGAGGAGAAAAATAAGAGAGAAGAAAAGATGAAAAAAGGAGAAGGATGGAAGAAGAAAGGGGAAGGATGGAAGAAGAAAGGGGAAGGATGGAAGAAGTAAGGGGAAGGATGGAAGAAGTAAGGGGAAGGATGGAAGAAGAAAGGGGAAGGATGGAAGAAGTAAGGGGAAGGATGGAAGAGGAAACGGGAAGGATGGAAGAAGAAACGGGAAGGATGGAAGAAGAAAGGGGAAGGATGGAAGAAGAAACGGGAAGGATGGAAGAAGAAACGGGAAGGATGGAAGAAGAAACGGGAAGGATGGAAGAAGAAAGGGGAAGGATGGAAGAAGAAAGGGGAAGGATGGAAGAAGAAAGGGGAAGGATGGAAGAAGAAAGGGGAAGGATGGAAGAAGAAAGGGGAAGGATGGAAGAAGAAAGGGGAAGGATGGAAGAAGTAAGGGGAAGGATGGAAGAAGTAAGGGGAAGGATGGAAGAAGAAAGGGGAAGGATGGAAGAAGAAAGGGGAAGGATGGAAGAAGAAAGGGGATGGATGGAAGAAGAAAGGGAAAGGATGGAAGAAGAAAGGGGAAGGATGGAAGAAGAAAGGGGAAGGATGGAAGAAGAAACGGGAAGGATGGAAGAAGAAACGGGAAGGATGGAAGAAGAAAGGGGATGGATGGAAGAAGAAAGGGGAAGGATGGAAGAAGAAAGGGGAAAGGATGGAAGAAGAAAGGGGAAGGATGGAAGAAGAAAGGGGAAGGATGGAAGAAGAAAGGGGAAGGATGGAAGAAGTAAGGGGAAGGATGGAAGAAGTAAGGGGAAGGATGGAAGAAGAAAGGGGAAGGATGGAAGAAGAAAGGGGAAGGATGGAAGAAGAAAGGGGAAGGATGGAAGAAGAAAGGGGATGGATGGAAGAAGAAAGGGAAAGGATGGAAGAAGAAAGGGGAAGGATGGAAGAAGAAAGGGGAAGGATGGAAGAAGAAAGGGGAAGGATGGAAGAAGAAGGGGGTTGGATGGAAGAAGAAGGGGGTTGGATGGAAGAAGAAAGGGGAAGGATGGAAGAAGAAAGGGGATGGATGGAAGAAGAAAGGGGAAGGATGGAAGAAGAAAGGGGAAGGATGGAAGAAGAAAGGGGAAGGATGGAAGAAGAAAGGGGAAGGATGGAAGAAGAAAGGGGAAGGATGGAAGAAGAAAGGGGATGGATGGAAGAAGAAAGGGGATGGATGGAAGAAGAAAGGGGAAGGATGGAAGAAGAAAGGGGAAGGATGGAAGAAGAAAGGGGAAGGATGGAAGAAGAAAGGGGAAGGATGGAAGAAGAAAGGGGAAGGACAGAAGGAAGGAAGGACAAAAATACAAGTAGGAGAAGCCCAGAAGAGAAGGAGAATACTTAATATAGAATAAAAAATGAATAATGTCACCTGGAGGAGGGTTCTCTGGGATGGCGGGTTGAACTCCTTCAATACTCAACCAGTGAGCTGAGAAAAGAAAAAAATTCACACAGAAGATCAGTAATAAAGGAAAACTAAAACAGCTCTCTTAGAAACCTCTTTTTAGCCTTGGTTCACACCTTAGCAGGTTTGTGGCCGGTGTTTGCGCAGGAATGGCAGCCCATTCATTTGAATGGGGTGCCATGCCTGAATTTTCCACAGAAAAAATGTGCATGCACCTTTTTCAAAACTCAGCTGCAGAGAAATCGCATGGTGCTTTTGTACCATGCAATGTTCCTGCGGATCCCGAACCTGCAAATGCGCTGCCGTTTCAGATGCGTGGGGATGCCATTAAGAATGAATGTGTTTTTAAACAGCAATGCGTTTTGACTGCTTGGGGTTATAGATATCGCTGCAATTCCCTCACTCACAGCCACCTGCAATAGTCTGAACCGGGTCTAAAAGCGTAAAGGAGGAAAAAAAAAAAAAAAAAAATCACTACTCATGTTCCAGAAATATAGTGCATGTCTACCTTCCTCTTTTAGGCTTGGTTCACATCTGTGCGGGTGGTGCCGTTGCGGATCCGCACAAAAATCAGTGCAGCCGCACCACCTGCACAGAAGAATGTGAACCCGCGGGCGGGTGCCATTAATTCGCACTAGGAATCGCAACCGTACTGGGAACCGAGGTTCCCGTGCGGGCTGCGTTTTCAGAAGAAGTGCAGGGACTTCCCTGCGTGTCCCGGGGCACGGGAGTCCATTCAAATGAATGGGCTCACGTGCCCACGCAAAATGCAGACCGCAGGAACGCACATATGTGAACCAGGGCATAAATGACAACACACTGGGGGAGATTTACTAAAACCAGTGCACACAGAATCTGGTGCAGTTATGCATAGTAACCAATCAGCTTCTTACTTCAGCTTGTTCAATTACACAGCGCTGTATCCTGTATGTAGCTGTGGCTACACACCGCTTATACAGCACCCCCAGCGGGTGCACCCCTTAATGTAGAAAATAGTTTGTTCTGGCGAGCTTGACCCAAGCAAACTACTCAAAGTGACAGTAAGAGCTCGTTCACACTTGACTTTTTTTGCAACTCTTGCCAAACGCCCCTATAACGTTTGACAAGCGTTTGTCCGGTGTTTGCTGAGCGTTTTTATCGCTCCACAAACTCTCCAAAAGCGCCACATGAGCGGTTTAGCGGCAGTTGCTAGGCGTTTGCAAAGCGTTAAAAAGGAGGTAACATTGTACTACTTTGGTCATAGTAAAATATGAAAATAAAATCTTAAAATTTTTTTTTAAAAAATGTAATAAAAAATTAAAAATAATAAAAAAAAAAAAAAAATAAAAAAATATATATATATTTTTTTTTATTTCATACTGTCACCAGTCGGTGTCCCTGTTTACCGCCATGCCAGTTATATGATGATGCTGTACTGCACTGGTGACAGTATATAAAAAAAAAAAAAATAGTGAAAATAATTTTTTTTATGTTTTCATTTTCCGAAAAATTATGACAAAAAAAACACAACTTCAAAAAACTCACCATTCCTCTTATGAAGTACGTCGGACTGTCTACTCTGCAAAAAGGGGTCATTTGGGGGATATCTGTACTGTTCTGACATTTGGGGGATATCTGTACTGTTCTGACATTTGGAGGATATCTGTACTGTCCTGACATTTGGGGGATATCTGTACTGTCCTGACATTTGGGGGATATCTGTACTGTTCTGACATTTGGGGGATATCTGTACTGTCCTGACATTTGGGGGATATCTGTACTGCTCTGACATTTGGGGGATATCTGTACTGTTCTGACATTTGGGGGATATCTGTACTGTCCTGACATTTGGGGGATATCTGTACTGTTCTGACATTCTTGGACCTCAAGAAATTAGATTGGCTGTCAGTACTTCAGGATTGATCAATATTCAGATCTATACCATAGTTTGTGAACCCTATAACTTTCCTACAAACTAAATAATACATCCTAATTTGGGTTATTTTCACCAAAGACATGTAGCAGAATACATCTCGGCCTAAATTTATGAAGAACAATTATTTATTTGTAAACTTTAATAACAGAAACAAAGAAAAACGTGTTTTCTTTTCAAAATGTTTGGTCTTTTTTTGTTAATTTAGCAAAAAATAAAAACCCCAGCGGTGATTAAATACCACCAAAAGAAAGCTCTAGTTGTGTGAAGAAAATTACAAAATTTTAGTTTGGGTACAATGTTGTATGACCGCGCAATTGTCATTCAAATTGTGAGAGCGCTGAAACGTGAAAAATGGTCTGGGCAGGAAGGTGTAAAATTGCCCGGTATTCAAATTGTTAAAAATGATTGGGGACCCTGCCCATAAACGCAATATCAAGGGAAAACCATTTCCTACCTTTCAATGAGACGTCGAGAGGCACCCGAGGAAGTGGGGTGCTGATTATGTCACACAAATCAACCTCTTTCTCCTCATAGAAATGCAGCTCCCGCCCTCCCCCACTGGCGTAACGGAACGGCAGATATTCCTTAGCATGGAAACCATATATGGGCTGCAAGAGAGGACAATATTACTGCAGTAATTAGTACATATACTGTATATAGTCAAAAGGAATCATTACATTTTTTACGTTTCTTGTAGAGTGGAAGTCAAGCCAAGATGTTTTAATTTTTTGATTACCTTTGGAAGTGAAAAAGAAACCTCTGTCCGGCTATTATATGGTGTTTGTCACCATTAGGGAGATCTTGCCTCACTTCCTGTTGTGTTTACTGGTGTCACCAGGGACAAACAGAGCAAATTCTCCCCAACAGAGGCACAGTTGAAACGGAACGAAACTGTATCTGGGCACCATAAACTGAAAACACCATTTATTTTGATTTACCACTTCTAAAAGTGAATGAAATGTCACATTTTGTGGTGACATTTTCATAAAGTAAAAGGAAAAAAAAAACTGGCCCACACACCAAAAAGAATTGTTTTTGGCATCCGGGATGGTGAGAATCAGCCCTTACGCCCCATGTACACGGGACACTTCTGAACGATGGAAACTGACTGCTGGAAAACATAGGTTAAAAAAAGTCTGTTTAGCTGCGTTTCCATAACGCGTTTATGTGCGTTTGCGTTTAGAAGCGTTTTTTAAAGATAAGCACAGGAGAACCTCCCAAATGCCCAGAATGCACTGAAAAGTGTTAAATTATTAACCATTTTAGACTGTTTCAGAGAAATACAGAGAGTAGAAGCAGAGACAGCAGTATGTGAGAGATTAGCTTAGGTGTGAGTTGCTCATTAACATTTCTTTTGTTTCCAAGGGTGGGAAAGGTGTCTGGTGGAGGGAGTCATTAAGGTCACCTGGCAGGGGGGTCTTCATGAGGAATTTGAGATGTGAATGGTCATTAACGTATCTTTGTTTCCAAGGGTGGGAAAGGTGTCTGGTGGAGGGAGTCATTAAGGTCACCTGGCAGGAGGTCTTCATGAGGAATTTGAGGTGTGAATGGTCATTCACATATCTTTTGTTTCCAAGGGTGGGAAAGGTGTCTGGTGGAGGGGGTCATTGAGGCCACCTGGCAGGGGGTCTTCCTGAGGAATTTGAGGTGTGAATGGTCATTAACATATCTTTTGTTTCCAAGGATGGGAAAGGTGTCTGGTGGAGGGAGTCATTAAGGTCACCTGGCAGGGGGTCTTCATGAGGAATTTGAGGTGTGAATGGTCATTAACATATCTTTTGTTTCCAAGGGTGGGAGAGGTCTGAGGTGTGAATTGGTCATTACAATGTGTGACAAGCTTGGTAAGAACATCCTGTGTTCAGTGTTTTGTCCATCTGAGTACCTTGAAAATGCTTTGCATGCATTTTACATGATGAAAAAAGGCTCTGGACAGCATCGGGAACTGGAAGAGTTAAAAAAAAATTTCACACACAAACTCTTATAAACTCGATTTGCAGCGTTTTGCATTTGAAACGCTGATGAAATCAACTGCTGAACGCAAGTTTTCTGCGTTCAAAAAAAACGACTATAAACTCAAATGCCTGTAAAGACTGTAAACGAAGATGTGTAGATGGACACATAGGAAACATTAGGGAGAGTTCAGGGGCTGCTGAAAAAACGCTGAACAGCTTCTAAATGTGAGTTTATCAGCTGCAGTGTACATGAGCCCTTATAGATATACATTCCTAGAAACCAGTGTTGCTGCAGGTTGGTCTACGTGTATTGTGACTCTCTTGTTTGTATTGTCCTGTTATGCCATGTTTTACAAATAAAGAAGCTGTATAAAGGTGTGGAGTGTTATCATCCAGTATATTGTAACTGCTAGGTACACGCGGTAAGTTTTTTTTTTTTGTTCAACCCAGCAGGCTGGGTCCGCCATACTAAGTGAAGTAAATGGGGTGATCTTCCCCGCTGAGATATTGTGTTGACAGGGGGACTGCCCCCGCCCCCCTACCAGGACACACTGCAATTGGCTGCCAGCGCTAATTGGATGCTAGTTTTCCAGCATGCCCATTCGACATCTAACACCCAGCTTCTGTCAGACAGGCTGCTATACACACTGGACAAATGTCAGCCAGGTTTTATTGAATCGACCGATATTTGGCCTGTGTTCCAGCCTTAAACCCTTTAATCCTTTACAATCAAGAAAGCTGCCATATTAGCCTTTGTTCGATCTGCAGTTGCCGTAGTGCTACACATGTGATCAGTTATAATACCAGCTATTTGATGGCTTGACAGTTCAGGGCACAAGCAACTGTGAGTTATCTTTAATGGCATAAGTGCAGCGCTATAAACGCATGTAACATAAATAACATATATCAATAAAGTGCAGAGAAGTGTGTCAAATGTGCAATTATGTGCATCAATATGCACTTCTGACGCACTTCTCTGCACTTTATTGATATATGTTATTTATGTTACATGTGTTTATAGCGCTGCACTTATACCTTTTAAGTTGATTTTGGGACTGTTGCCGATATCCAGAGTGCTAGCAGCTATTCTTAGATCATTAATTCTACAATTTTCATATTTATATACTTCATAATTTATTTAGCGCTCGCTTATACAATATTTAGATCTTCAATGGCATGCTTACTGTTTTGGGAAACAGTTAAAAAACAGCCACTTACCTGTCCCTCGGTGTCAGGAATGGACTCAGCACTGGTGGTGGGACTCACCTGCCGTGTGGGCTGCAGTACCAGGGCTGACCAGCGGGTGCTCTCAGCAGCCAGAAGCTCACTCCTGCAATCAGCCAACACCTGGGGCTGATTGCAGGAGGTGTATTTAAGGAATGGCCAGACCTGCAGTCAGTGCCTTGGTGTATGTTTCCCATGAGCCCCTGTACCGTGTATCCTGTGTTCCTGTTCTGCTGACTATCTGATTTGTTGCCGACCTTGCCTGATCCTGACCTCTGCTGACTTTTCCTGCTTGATCCCTGGCTTGCCTGACCCTCTGTACCGCGCTGCCCGTGAGTTACTGAACCCGGCTTGTGACCCTGACTATTCTCTGCCTGCTCCTCCGGTACCTCGCTGCCCACACGTTGCTGACCTGGCCTGCCTGACTACGCCTGACGCTACCCAGACGATCCATCCATCCATCCCGCACGGATCTGTCCCTGTTACCAGGTCTGCCAGCCTCTTCACGTCAGGCTTGCCCCCGGTACATACCCTCGGCGGACCCCTCTACCACAGTTGGGTGCACTCAGGGGCTGCGACCTGGTCTCAGTCCTGCGCCAAGTCCATCCCCACCATCAGGGGCTCTGGTGAAAAGGCATACTGGGGCTTAGACTCCGCGCCCTGGGGAATTCCGTTCTGTGGGTACTAGAGATCCCGCCGGGCGGTGCCTGACAGTACCTAACGGCCTGCCTGACCATTCAACCTCTCCAGCCCTGACTACGCCTCTGTTCCCACACATTTCTGGTCATACCCGGATACTTAACACTCGGTCCCATGGCGTGTCCCCCGCAGCCCGTTTCACTGGCCGTCCTGGATCCCAGGAGGCCGGCATCTTCAGTGTGGGCACCCGGCTGTGACAGCTTGCGGCTTCACAGCCGGGTACCCACTGAGCATGTGCGAGTAGCGCTGCGCTTCGTGAATGGTCCTGTAGTCTTCTGGGACCTTTCACGTGTCTCAAAAGACTACAGGGAGGGTGGGAGGACACCTTCCACTTCCGATCGCCTAGGCCAGGGGTAGGCAATCTGCGGCACTCTAGCTGTTGTGGAACTACATTTCCCATGAGGCATTGCAACATTACAAAACTGACAGTTACAGCTATGACTTGTAGAAGCATGATGGAACTTGTAGACCTGCAAGAGCTGGAGAGCCGCAGGTTGCCTACCCCTGGCCTAGGCAATCGGACTGGAAATGGGAGCGGGTAACTCAAATTCGGGTACCTGCCTCCCAAAGGTGCCAATCCTTAATGGAGAGCGGGGAAGCAGTCCTTAAAGCGGAGCTTCCCCTTTTAGGTGGAGCTCTGCCTTAAAAAGGAGTCATTTAACCTACCATCATGTCTTTGGAGTTTGGCAGGAAACTGGATTACAGGAGGAACCCAAGCAATCACAAGAAGAACACTTAAGCTCCATGCAGGTAGCGTTGAGGTTGGGGTTCAAATTGTAAAGCAGGACTGCTAACCACTAAGCCACAGTGCTGCATCAATTAGCATAGCTGCCAATCAGTGCCTATGGCCCAATGGCAACCTGTGCTGTGGAGATCGTGCCCATCCACAGAAAGAAGCACCACCGCTCTGCTTCAGGAAACATGACCAGAAACAATTTCTCCAAAGTGAGAGAACAGTGTCCGGCCAAACAAACAGGGAGATACCATAAACAAGCAATATAAGGGACCTTTACAGGTTGAACTGGATGGACTGATGTATTTATTCAACTTTACCAACTATGTAAATATGTAGGAATTAGCTGACAAATGTACTGGAAAATTAGAGTGTAATATTGGTACAAGCTATGCGAACGCCTTCCTAATATGATTCTATTCCTTCTGGCTGGTGTTCAGCTTTGTGGAAGGGTATTCCCCTGAAATCTGTTGAGAATAAAATTTCCCCGTACTTTGGTATGCCTTCTCTTTATCCTTACTCACAACATACAGTATATTCACCATTCCTGCACTATGGGGGCAACAGACAGTGAGGATTGCCCACAACAGAAAAAAACTCAATATCTCCCATTAAAAATCATCAGGTGCCCCAAGGTGTTAGTAAATAGACAGAATTATCTATGCTGTCTCCTGGTAAGACTGCTAATCTGAGGCTGTTGTACTGTGTACATGTATACAGTCTCTTCCTATTGTGTCATTCTGTTACCTCCACATTCTTCAGCTTTAGAGCAGCATCAATGTCATTGGGGGTCAGTTTCTGCCTTTTACCAACGTGCATAAACTTCATAGCATCCTGCAGAGAAAAAAAAAAAAGTCAGAGGATTGATGGGTAAAGAATATTAAAACTGAACTCTAGGTAGACTGCTTAATATACGGATGAAATACATATACAGTGAGGACCATATATATCTGGACACAGGCACAATCTTCATACTTTTGGCTCTGTATGCCACCAGAATAAATTAAAATAAAACAATCCAAATGAATGTGAAGTGCAGACTTTCAGCTTTAATTCAAGGGGTTGGACATAAATATCAAGTACACATTTTAGGAAATGCAACCATTTGTATACACAGTCCCTCCATTTTCAGGGGCTCAAATGTATTTGGACAAATGAATCTAATCATAAATAAAATGTTTGTTTGTAATATTTTGTTGAGAATCCTTTACTGGCAATGGCTGCCTGTAGTCTGGAACCCATGGACATGACCAAAGACTGGGTTTCCTCCTTTCTGATGTTTCGCCTGAAGTCTGGAACCCATGGGCATTACCAAAGACTGGGTTTTCTCCTTTCTGATGCTTTGCCTGAAGTCTGGAACCCATGGACATTACCAAAGACTGGGTTTCCTCCTTTCTGATGTTTCGCCTGAAGTCTGGAACCCATGGGCATTACCAAAGACTGGGTTTTCTCCTTTCTGATGCTTTGCCTGAAGTCTGGAACCCATGGACATTACCAAAGACTGGGTTTCCTGCTTTCTGATGCTTCGCCTGAAATCTGGAACCCATGGACATTGCCAAAGACTGGGTTTCCTCCTTTCTGATGCTTTGCCTGAAGTCTGGAACCCATGGGAATTACCAAAGACTGGGTTTCCTCCTTTCTGATGTTTCGCCTGAAGTCTGGAACCCATGGGCATTACCAAAGACTGGGTTTTCTCCTTTCTGATGCTTTGCCTGAAGTCTGGAACCCATGGACATTACCAAAGACTGGGTTTCCTCCTTTCTGATGCTTCGCCTGAAGTCTGGAACCCATAGACATTACCAAAGACTGGGTTTCCTACTTTCTGATGCTTCGCCTGAAATCTGGAACCCATGGACATTGCCAAAGACTGGGTTTCCTACTTTCTGATGCATTGCAGCCGTCTTGCAACCTGCTGGATGTCTGAGCAGAAGGAGGGTGCGAGGAGTTAGGAGGAAGATTTGGATCTAAATTGGAGGAGGCTGTGAATATCCAGATGAGCGCATATTACCTCATTTTGAGGTGAGCAGGTCTTTCAGCTGGTGTGGTGGTGATGCACCGAACAGTAGAAAAGAACAGGATACTCCCAGTGTCACTTATAGACACAAACAGGTGTATTGCGTGGACTCTGTATTGATGGGACATTAATGATTACGATTGTTATCACTGTTTATCACTGTTATTGACATATGCACTGTTATGAAGGGGGGTGAATATAGACAGTTGCGCTGCACTTTCTTATGAGGAACCTCTAGAAGAACCCTGGTTAATAAAGGCTGTGCTAGAGTTGCAGAATATCTTAGAAAATATCTGATTATGCCACCCCCCACCATCTCTCTTCAAATGAGGTGACCTCTGACCTGAGTGACTTCCTTTATCCGAAAGCTGACTTCTTGTGTGAGCAGCTGGCAGGTCTCCTCTGACATCTGTGAGACTCCTATAGACTCTGCGATCACTTTCATGGACTCACTGGGGAGGAGAGCATTCCCGATCTTCTTCCCCTCCGCCATGACAGGGGGTTGTGTTTGGAGAGCCTGGAGGGTGCAGGGAGAAGCAAACGGTATGAATATGGAGATATAAGAGACAATGTGCTTGTTCTTCATCAACTAAATCACCGCATTAAAATCTCTGATAGTTTAGAAGTAGGGATGCACTGAAATTTCAGTGGCCGAAACATATCGGGTGAACATACAGTGGGGATCGAAAGTTTGGGCACCCCAGCTAAAAATTTGTATTAATGTGCATAAAGAAGCCAAGGAAAGATGGAAAAATCTCCAAAAGGCATCAAATTACAGATTAGACATTCTTATAATATGTCAACAAAAGTTAGATTTTATTTCCATCATTTACACTTTCAAAATAACAGAAAACAAAAAAATGGCATCTGCAAAAGTTTGGGCACCTTGCAGAGTTTATAGCATGCACTGCCCCCTTTGCAAAGCTGAGACCTGCCAGTGTCATGGATTGTTCTCAATCATCGTCTGGGAAGACCAGGTGATGTCAATCTCAAAGGTTGTAAATGCCCCGACTCATCTGACCTTGCCCCAACAATCAGCACCATGGGTTTTTTTAAGCAGTTGTCTAGAAAACTGAAACTGAAAATAGTTGACGCTCACAAAGCTGGAGAAGGCTTTAAGAAGATAGCAAAGCGTTTTCAGATGTCAATATCCTCTGTTCGGAATGTAATTAAGAAATGGCAGTCATCAGGGACAGTGGAAGTTAAAGCAAGATCTGGAAGACCAAGAAAAATATCAGACAGAACAGCTCGCAGGATTGTGAGAAAAACAATTCAAAACCCACGTTTGACTGCACGATCCCTCCAGAAAGATCTGGCAGACACTGGAGTTGTGGTACACTATTCCACTATAAAGAGATACTTGTACAAATATGGTCTTCATGGAAGAGTCATCAGAAGAAAACCTCTTCTACGTCCTCACCACAAAAATCATCGTTTGAACCTTGCAAATGAACATATAGACAAGCCTGATGTATTTTGGAAACAAGTTCTGTGGACCGATGAGGTTAAAATTTAATTTTTTGGCGGGAATGAGCAAAGGTACGTTTGGAGAAGAAGGGGCACAGAATTGAATGAAAAGAACCTCTGTCCAACTGTTAAGCATGGGGTTGGATCAATCATGCTTTGGGGTTGTGTTGCAGCCAGTGGCACAGGGAACATCTCACGAGTAGAAGGAAAAATGGATTCAATGAAATTTCAGCAAATTTTGGATGGTAACTTGATGCCATCTGTGAAAAAGCTGAAGTTAAAGAGAGGATGGCTTCTACAAATGGATAATGATCCTAAACACACCTCGAAATCCACGGGGGATTACATCAAGAGGCGTAAACTGAAGGTTTTGCCATGGCCTTCACAATCTCCTGACCTCAACATAATTGAAAATCTATGGATAGACCTTAAAAGAGCAGTGCGTGACAGACAGCCCAGAAATCTCAAAGAACTGGAAGACTTTTGTAAGGAAGAATGAGCAAAGATACCTCAAACAAGAATTGAAAGACTCTTGGCTGGCTACAAAAAGCATTTACAAGCTGTGATACTTGCCAAAGGGGGGCAGTACAAGATATTAACTCTGCAGGGTGCCCAAACTTTTGCAGACGCCATTTTTTTGTTTTCTGTTATTTTGAAAGTGTAAATGATGGAAATAAAATCTAACTTTTGTTGACATATAAGAATGTCTAATCTGTAATTTGATGCCTTTTGGAGATTTTTCCATCTTTCCTTGGCTTCTTTATGCACATTAATACAAATTTTTAGCTGGGGTGCCCAAACTTTCGATCCCCACTATAAATGCCGATAGGAACATTTTAGCCGATACAGATGCTGACAGGGGCTGTGTGTACTGCATATGGGGGGGGGGGGGGGGGGGGGAGCGCGGAGAATGGCAGAAGAGGAGCAGTGTGCATAGTGAGATACCACTTAATGTCACTGCTGGTTTTTAAATGTAATTACCGTTTCTTTTCCTCCTTCGCTATAACTCTGAGAATGAGCTGTCATCCTTTCCTATGCTAAGGGGAACAATGGGGCGGGGTCACTGGGTAATGTCACTGGGTGACCCCGCACCTTAGAGGAGAAGATGACAGCTCATTCTTGGAGTTATAGTGAAGAGGAAAAAAAAGTCGGTAATTACATTTAAAAAACGGCATTTTTTAAATGTAATTACCAGCTTTTTTTCTTCACTATATCTCCAAGAATGAGCTGTCATCCTTTCCTGCAGTAAAAGAAACTAAGGGGCGTGGTCAGTGGGTAATAACACTGGGTGACCCCACCCCTTAGAGGAGGAGAGGATGACAGCTCATTCTTGGAGATATAGCGAAGAAAAAAGTTGGTAATTACATTTAAAAACAATGCCAGTTTTTAAATTTAATTACCTGCTTTTTTTTCCCCTTCACTATAGCTCTGAAAATGAGCTGTCATCCTCTCCTCCGCTAAGGGAAACTAAGGGGCGGGGTCACTGGGTAATGTCACTGGGTGACCCCACCCCTTAGTGGAGGAGAGGATGACCACTCATTCTTGGAGCTATAGTGAAGAGGGAAACAAAAGCCGGTAATTACATTACATGCAATTACCGACTTTTTTCTTTGCTATAACCCCAAGAATGAGCTGTCATCCTTTCCTGCACTAAAAGAAACGAAGGGGCGCGGTCAGTGGGTAATGTCACTTGGTGACCCCGCCCCTTAGAAGAGGAGAGGATGACAGCTCATTCTTTGAGCTATAGCGAAGAAAAAAACCATTACATTTAAAAACAATGCCGGTTTTTTAAATGTGATTAGTGGCTTTTTTCCCCCCTTCACTATAGCTCCGAGAATGAGCTGTCATCCTCTCCTACACTAAGGGGCGGGGTCACCCAGTGACCCGCCCCTTTGTTTCCTTTAGCAGAGGGGAGAATGGCCGCTCATTCTTGGAGCTTTAGTGGAGAACAAAAAAGCCGGTAATTACATTTAAAAACCAGCAGTGACATAAGGGCAGCCAGTGAGGGAGTCTGAGTCTATATACTGCTCCCTCACTATATACACTGCCCCCTCCTTGCACACACTGCCCCCTACAAAGAGGACCTGTCACTCATATGCTATCAAATAGGGCACTATAGGGGACCAATAGTGCCCTATGCTATCACATAGGGCACTATTGGTCTCTATGTGATAGCAAAATCATAAGTTGAAAAAAATAAAAATACACATTAAAGTTAAAAAAAAAAATACAAAAAAAAAAAATTGAGCCTCCTCAACCCCAAATACGCAGAAATTTCGATTTTCGGCCACATGCATTCTGAATTTTCGGTATCGGTTTCAGCACCAGAATTTTCATTTCGGTGCACCAATATTTAGAAGGTATAAATCTCACCAATAGGTTTTACTGAAGAGTTCTTAGAAGATCCTGCTTGTTACGGGGTATCTGCGGATTCCAGCAAGCACATCTTCCACGAGAAGAAATGCAAAACAATTTGCACCATTGTTATCCCCCCCTCTCCCCAACATATAAAAACTGACCTTTTATTAATTAATACACGGCTCAAAAAAATGAAAGGAACACTTTTTATTCAGAGTACAGCATCAAGTCAATGAAACTCCTGAGATATTGATCAGGTCAGTGAAGTAGTAGAGGGGGTTGTTAATCAGTTTCAGCTGCTTTGGTGTTAAATGAAATTAACAACAGGTGCACTAGATGGGCAACAATGAGACAACCCACAAAACTTATGGTCGCAGAGCCCACCAATCATACAGTATTATGGTCACAGAGACCACCAAACACATATTCCCACCACAGCTGGACACCCTGGTCACACGGGCCTCCCCAGTTACAGCTCCTCCCAATCACACAGTTCCCACATTATACAGCCCACCATTTACATCATCCACCCATCACAGAGGACACCAATCACATAGTCCCCCCCATTCACACTGGCCTCCCCCATCACAGACTCCCCCCCCTCAGTCACAAAGTCTCCATCACAGAGGCTCCCGAACACATTTAAACCATACCTTTGGCCCAAACAGTGTACAGAGAGCAAGAAGTGGACGTCTGTCTTCTCCTGAATGCTGGGGATAGCTATACATGCAGTCTATACTGGATCAGAGCCATGCATTGCTATTGTGGAGGCAGGCCAGCCGCCATTACCGAAGCACTGAATGACGCCATTCATCCTAGCCCTTGAGTATCATTGGTTGTTATGCTGCCGCACACCATGAAGCTGATCCAGGGCAAACTGGTACCAGTGCTTGGGGCACCCTGGCTGAGAAACATTGGTGTAGACTACAAAAGGTAAAATGTATAAAGTACCAAACTGATACATTGCCAAAAACAAAACAAACAAAAGGGACAAAGAAAAGCTCTGGAACTGAGTGGGATTCCGGAGTAAAAAGGCCCCAGGAATCGGGTGGCTATTATTATTATACAGGATTTTATATATTATTATACAGGATTTATATATATTATTATTATTATACAGGATTTTATATATTATTATTATTATTATACAGGATTTATATATATATTATTATACAGGATTTATATATATTATTATTTATACAGGATTTTATATATTATTATTATTATTATACAGGATTTATATATTATTATTATTATACAGGATTTATATATTATTATACAGGATATTTATATATTATTATTATACAGGATTTATATATTATTATTATACAGGATTTATACATTATTATTATTATACAGGATTTATATATTATTATTATTATTATTATTTATTATACAGGATTTACAGGATTTATATATTATTATTATACAGGATTTATATATTATTATTATACAGGATTTTATATATTATTATTATTATACAGGATTTATATATATTATTATTATTATACAGGATTTATATATTATTATTATACAGGATTATATATATATTATTATTATACAGGATTTAATATATTATTATTATTATACAGGATTTATATGGCGTCAACAGTTTGCTCAGCGCTTTACAATATAACAGGAGCCAATACAGCAACAATACAGTTTTCC